CATTCTTCTCAAGTGCACAGGAAACATTCACCAGGTAGACCATATGTTAGGCCACAAAACAAGTCCCAAGAGATGTGAAAAGACTGAGATCATACAACATATCTTCTCTGACAAAAACAGAATGAACACAGAAATCAATAATAGAAGAAAAACTGGGAAATTCACAAATGTGGAAATTAAACGTTAAACAACTAATGCAGGGTGAGTGTGTGTATGTGTGTGTGTGTGTTGGGGGGGGATATTCAAAGAAAAAAATCCCGAGAGAAACTAAAAAATATCTTGAGATTATTTGAGATTAATGAAGGAAAAAAAAAACAACCCAACATACCGAAATTTATGATAGTGCTCAGAGGGAAATGTATAGCCTGTTAAAAAAGAACAACTATTTCAAATCAACAACAAAATCTTATACCCTGAAAAACCAGAGAAAGAAGAAAACCTAAATCCCAAACTAGTAAAAGGAAAGAAGGAAAGAAATAGTAGGCTGGGCACGGTGGCTCATGCCTATAATCCCAGCACTTTGGGAGGCCGAGGCAGGTGGATCACAAGGTCAAAAGATCGAGACCATCCTGGTCAACAAGGTGAAACCCTGTCTCTACTAAAAATACAAAAATTAGCTGGGCATGGTGGTGTGCGCCTGTAGTCCCAGCTACTCAGGAGGCTGAGGCAGGAGAATTGCTTGAACCCAGTAGGCAGAGGTTGCGGTGAGCCGAGATCGTGCCATTGCACTCCAGCCTGGGTAACAAGAGTGAAACTCCATCTCAAAAAAAAGAAATAGTAAAGAATAGAGTGGAGCTAAATGAAATAGAGAACAGAAAAATGGAAAAAACAATAAAACCAAAAATTGGTTATTTGAAAACATCAACAAAATTGACAAACATTTAGTTAGACTGACAAATAGAGAAGACACAAATAACTAAAATCAGAAAGTAGGGATAGTACTATGAACCTTACAGAAATAAAGAGGATTATAAGAATACTATTAACAATTGTACACCAACAAATTAGATTAACTAGATGACATGGGCAAATTCCTAGAAACACATTATCGACTTAATAAAAAATAGATCTATAAGAAGAGTGTGAACTGGTAATCAAAATCTCCCAGCAAAGAAAAGCTCAAGACCAGATGGCTTCACTTGTAAATTCTACCAAACATTTAACTAATTAACAGCAATCCTTCTCAAACTGTTCCAAAAATAAAGAAGAGGGAATACTTTGTAGCTTGTTCTTTGAGGCCAATAATATCCTAACTGTAAAGCCAGATAAAGACACCACAAAAGAGAAGGTTACAGACCAATATCCCTTATGCATATATGTGCAAAAATCCTCAACAAAATACTAGCAAATTGAGTCCAACAGCATATTCGAAAAATTATACACCCTAACCAGTTGGGATTTATCCCAGGAATGCCTGGGTAGCTCAACATCAGAAACTCAACGTAATACACATTAATAAAAACAAAGAAAAAGGGTCAGGCACAGTGGCTTACACCTGTAATCCCAGCAATTTGGGAGGCTGAGGTGGGTGGATTACAAGGTCAGGAGTTTAAGACCAGCCTGGCCAACACAGTGAAACCCCGTCTCTACTAAAAATACAAAAAATTAGCTGGGCCTGGTGGTGGGTGCCCATAACCCCAACTACTTGGGAAGCTGAGGCAGGAGACTCGCTGGAACCCAGGAGGTGGAGGTTGCAGTAAGCCAAGATCGCATTAGGGCACCCCAGTCTGGGTGACAGTGGGAGACTCTGTCTCGAGAGAAAGGAAGAAGAAAAGAAAAGAAAAGAAAAGAAAAAGAGATGGAAAGAGAAAAGAAAGAAAGAGAGAGAAAGAAAGAAAGAAAGAAAGAAAGAAAGAAAGAAAGAAAGAAAGAAAGAAAGAAAGAAAGAAAGAAAGAAAGCAAGCAAGCTAGCTCAGTGCCTATGATTTTAGGATGAAAAAATTTTTTTAGAATGACTCCTAAAATAATGCATCTCAAGGACTGAGAGGCACATTGTGTGGGACTACAAGATTCATATAGTTTGGTCCTCACCGTTTACTCCCACCATGCTGCAGCCACTCTGGCCTGCTGGAAGTTTTCCTCCCACCATGCCTCTCCCACTACAGGGGTTTTCCATCTGCTGTCCTATCTGCCTGCACAGCTTATCTCCCTCCTCTCTGCCTAGTCAAAACCTAATTCCTCCTGTTCCTTCTGATCACAGCTAGAGCATTCCTTCCTGAGGGAAACTCTCCCCAATTTATATGCCATCATGACACTATGCATTTCTTCATCACAGCTCTTAACATTTAATACATCTAGTTTTAATTTTTTATTAACAGGTCTCCTTCACTAGACTGGATGTTCCACGAGAGTACAGGCTTTTCCCACCTAGCTGACTATATTTCCAATGTCGGCATAGAGAAAGAGCCCATTAACTATCTGTTGCAAGACAGAGAGAAAAGTCAGGACACCAGACAGAACCACTTGGAGAGAAGATTGCCTATCTATCAGTTTTGTTTAAGAAATCAGATAATGTAGTACTATTTCATTCTATCCTCTGCTGTTTTATGCCTTTTAGTGCTGGTCCAAGCTCACAGGGCTTGTCCAGTTTAAACAACAAAAAAAAAGCAAGTATATGTTTTCAGTTCCAGTACATATTTGTGAGCATGGGAGAGGGGAGAAGGCAGAGCAAGCCTCACAAGTACAAATCTGACCCTGTGTTTCAAGTCTTCTTTTTCAATATATAGGTCATCAAGACTTGCTTGCTTAAAGTTTATGAACCTGCAAGCAGAGGCACCAGATTTGTTTCAATATCCTTTCTGGGAAAGGTCTTGCTTATACAGTGCTTTTTTTCACTCCACTTCCTCGTATATGGGATTTGTGACACGTAATTAAACTAAAAAAGAAAACCTGAATTGAGCATCTCTGTGTAAAAGCACCCAAGGCTCGTTAGCAGACATGTCAGTAGTCCAGTACTGAGTTCCTCCATCCTTCCAATGGCCAGTCCTGTTTGGTAGCATAAACACTTCCTTCTAGAGAAGGTATTAATTCATGGCTCAGCATGATGCCATTAGCATTTAATCTGAGTTTTAGTACATCATTTAACTTCTCTGAACCCTCAGTTTTCCACTTATAATGTAGGAGCGGTATAATTACTGGACTCAAAAAACACTGAGCACCTAACTCGCTGGCATATTTACATGTAATGTTTCATCTCGTCTTCATAATAATCCCATGGGGTTAGAAATACTCACTTTTATTATGGAGAAACTGACTCAAAGAGGAAATGTGACCTGGTAAAATTCACATGATCAATACACAGAAGAGCCTCAGAGTCAAATCCAGACCACCTGACTACTATTTCCTTTGCACTATGTCTGCTACCTCAGCAGGCTATTGTGAGAACCTCACAGAGAAATGCAATTAAAAGCAAGTTTTCAACTATGGAGCTATACTGTTTTAATACTGTTAAGTCATTAGATTAGAGGAAGAACTAGAACCTAAGTTAGGATTTTAAGGGTGATAAATATTACTTTTTCTTATAAGGCTAGCAGTATTTCCTGTACTTCAAAAATTCTCAATTTAAAATCAGAAAAAATAAAATAATGGGAAAATGGGCAAGGAACCTGACCTGAATAGGTATTTCTCCCAAGATATATGAATGGCCAATATGCACATAAAAAGATGCTCATCATTAGCCATCAGAGGAACGTAAATTAGAACCACAATGGGGCATCATTTTATAATTCATACATGAGGATGACTATAATAAAAAAGACAAATAGCAGCAAGTGTTGGCAAGGGTGTGGAGAAACTGAAACTCTCATAGACTGCTGATGAAAATGTAACATACGCAGTTCCTGTGGAAAAAGAGTCTGGCACCTGCTCAGAAGGTTAAACGGTTACTGTGTGACCCAGCAATTTCACTCTGAGGTATATACCCTTAAGAATTGAAAATATATGTAAAACTTGTACACAAATGTTCACAGCAGCATTATTCATAATAGCCCAAAAGTGTAAATAATGCAAATATCCATCAATTGATAAATGGATAAACAAAATGTGATATATTTCACACAATGAAATGGCCATAAAAAGAAATGTAGTACTGACACATTCTACAACATGGATGAACCTTGAAAATATGCTAAGTGAAAGAACTCACAAAAGACTACATATTATATAATTTCATTTATATAAAATGTCCAGAATAGGCAAATCCATAAAAGGCAGAAAGTAGGTAAGTGGTCACCCAGGGATGGAGTGACGGTGGTTTCAGTTCAGGGTTTCTTTTATGATCAATGAAAATGTTCTCAAATTGATTGTGGTAATGGGTTGCCCAACTCTGTGAATATACTAAAACCATTAAAACAGTATCTTCAAATGGGTGAGTTTACGTCATGTAAATATCTCAATGAAGCCCCCCCTTTTCAATGAAGGCCCCATTTTTTAATCTTCTAATTTCACCATAAACTGCATCTGCAATACTAGGCACTTATTAAAGTTTACTTTAAACCAACTGGATTTTTCTTATCACTGCCTAATAGTTGTTAGAATTCTACAAATTCTGTAGCGTTTGTATTGTAATTTGTTAATATCCTTCAAAGAGATGACTTTAAATTACTTTTAATTTATGTGCTTAAACATGGAATACTCACAGATATAATGCTAAGACTTTCAGTAAAGGGATGTCTGAAAATCCATATATGGCATCATCATCTATCCACTTAATCAAAAAACCTAAGGATTGCTCTTATTTTCTCCTATCTTCATTCCTTGTATCCACTTCATCAGCTCATCAGCAGGAAGCCCTATTTATAAACTTCATAAGGATAGGATTTCCTGCTTGTTCACTATCGTATCTCCAGTGCATGGAATACTACCTGTCACACAGAAGATGCTCAATTAATATTTGTTGAATAAATAAATGGATGCATGCTCTATTTGAAATTAGTACCTTTAAAAGAAAAAAATGTAAATCTCACTTAATAATTTCTTAATATTTGTAATTTAAAAAAATGTAGATGATGCCAGTTTTATTTGCCATTCCAATTGCAGAAACATATGAACGCTAAATTCTCAAGGGACACAGGTATGCTATGCTGCCAAAATATGTAAAACATAACTTTATTCAGGTTTTCTCTTGTTATTTGATCCATGAATATTTAAAAGATACTTTATTTTATAATTTTATAAAAACTTACATCTGTAAGTAATGGATTGACCATAACAGAGGGTTTAACCTGGAATACATGGATAGGCTTAGAGGCCCATGAGCCCCTAAAATTGTATGCAAAGTCTAACATGTATTTAACATGTTGCATGTGTATCTTTTGGTGAGAGTTCATAGTTTTATCAGATTTCCAAAGAAGACTATGACCCAAAAAGGTTAAAAAATTACTTAACTAGAAACAGTCACAAAGTTTTTTAAACATGAATTTGTACAATAAAATAATATCCAACAGCTCCATCTATGGGTAAGTCATTATCACCTAGCAGAACTAGTGACAACCACCAGAGATCAGTGCACCTTACAAATGCTTGTGTTTAAATCTTCAGTGTCACTCTAGTGGGAATTTATTAACTATAGTATCACAGCTTCCCTTCCCCCCCACGATGTAGATGCAAAAATTAGGAGACTGTTGATGAATTCTACTTACAGTACTTCAGCACCAAAAAAACTGGGCAGTTATGCTGATAAATGTATGTACAGTTCAACATTTGTCAGTCTTAAAATGCTTATTTATAGTGAAATCTATATAAAACCGTTAAAAACTTTTCTATTTACATTTTTAAAAATGAAAAGTATAGTTTCCTTTGCCACAACTTGTCAAAACTCTTACCCTCCCACCCCCTTACCCCTCTCACTCTACTTGTGACAGACAGTGATCACAAGACCAAAACATATTGCTTAAACAAACTGTGTCCTAAAAAGGTAGAATGCTTAAAAACTTTACATTTAGAACTGTGAATGAACTTTTTATACATTTCAAAGGGGCTTAAACAAAAGTACGTAAAAGTTATTTTCAAAGTCTCAGTCCAATGTGAATGTGCAATTTCAACGTTAAGAAAGCATCATATGAATGAATAATTTGTTTTCTTAACATAACTGAACATTTCCTTTAGGCCTGAAAATGTTTCTTTTCCTCCGCTTCGCAATGAAACATTTTCTAGTAAGTTTTCTTAAAGGAAAGTGGGGAGACAAGGACGATGGAAACGGTATGCAATCCTGGTTTACAAGAAATTTGCCAGACAGAGTACGGCCTGCTTTGAAATGTTTACACTTAAATAAATAGAAGGCAAGTGTGCTACTTAGAGCACAAAGGAACAATACAATAAATTAGCACACAACTGATGAGAATGCACAAGCCACCCAAAAAGCACTTCCCACTGGTTAGGGATCTGACTTCTACCATCCAACAAGGATTCTTTAATGCCAGTATTTTTCTAGGTACTTATAAACTAATTATGAACTGAGCAAATGTAAAATTTTAACCAATTCAACACTTCTAGGGATATGCAAAAACATGTAACTTTTCTAAAAACTTTTCCTGACACATCATTTCAAAATACAACTATTCACATTCCCCTTTTAGATGGTATTTTGCTCAGTAGTAACCAGTTGAGAAACATGCACAGGAAAAGTCTCTTTCCACTGCAAGACAAAACTTTTCCACCGGCCATGATCCAACAGAGAAAGAAGACTAGGTCTCAAGTCACTGTAAATGTGCAGCTTTTTTTTTTTCTTTTTTTTTTTTTAAAAGTACATTCCCCTGTGAGTTTTATCTTGTTTTAAAATGCTGCTCCTGCAGCAATATCTTGTTGAAACACTGCTGTTTCAGGGTCCACAGCCTAAGTATGGGCAAAGTGCTCTTTTTATACATTAAAATATGAGGGTTTCCCTGGACACCTGGTAACCAAGCAGGTTTTAAAGTGCACTATTGTGTCCAAAACACTAGGACCGTTCAGCAGAGCTCTGAGAAGGGCTGGGTTCAGTTCCATCCTCCGTGCTACTGTCTATGTCCTGCTCCATTGCTGTCTCCTCGTCATCCAGCTGTTGACTAGTGAAGTTGTTTAGCTCAAGAAGCCCACTGGGCTCCACCACCACATTGGAGCTGGAGTGACAAGGAATAGCATACTGAGGAATAGCCTGGAAGAGAAGACATAGGAGAATCTTTATGGAAAGAAAAGGTAACAGAACCATTTCCCCAACAATACCAAGGAAAAAAAAAAGAAAACGGACATTTATTAGGCAACTACTACACGCCAGGCACTGTGCAAAGTGCTCTCACATATTATACTTTACTAAATCCCTGTAACAACACTATAAGGAAATTATTATTCCCACTTGCAAATGAGGAAACTGAGAGGGTAGGTGACTTCACCAAAGTCACAGTTGGACAGGGATAATGCCAGGATTCAAATATAAATCTTACGCAACTGGAAGTGATCTTTCCACTCCTTTATGGTGCCTCTTCTAACAAAGGAGGCTGAAATCTATTGTCTAATTCAAGAGACAAACTTTGAATGAAACTTTCATTTGATTATTAAGCAAATGAAAATGTAAATGTAGTCAAATTTTGCCCTTTATTTTCTGCAAGATGAATATTAGTAGATGAACACTTGCTATAGACCTCTGCATAAGTAAATATCACAGGTATGCTGCCTTGTCAGATTCTTTTTCCTCATCTTTATTAGATATCCTTTGAAAAGTTTTATCAGTTCATGTCATATTCTCATTTAAAACTCTAAAATTGTTTCCTACTGTACTTCCCATACAACCAAACACCTCACCATGGCGCCCAGCCTCATGCCAAACTCTCTTGTACCTTAGTGCTTTTGTACTAGGCCTTCTCCTCTTCCTGGAATACTCTTCCTCCAAATCATGGCATGGTTGGCTCTGTCCTGACATCTGCAACTCAGTTCAAATGTTTGGAAGAAAAGCTTTTCTTCCATGACTACCAAACCAAAAGTAGTGGGTTTATCCCACCCACTCCATCTCTATTACATTCTGTTACATTTTTTTGTTCATTGCATTTATCATGTTACATTGTTTCTTACTCTTAAAATGTAAGCTCCAAGAGAAGTGAACAGATCTTGACAATCTTACTCATTGCTAGAAGCCCAAAGTTTTGAACAGGGCCTGGCACACAGCAGATGCTCAATAAACATCTGATGAATAAATATACAATTTTAACATTAAAAACCCCAGAACAAAGTTGAGTATCAGCACTTTGCAAATATATCTGACCAAAATAACCTTTTACTATCAAGAAAATAATGTAAGATGCCTACACATTGATTCTGGAGCCATGAAGTTCTCTTTGTTTCTGCTCTTTTCTTCCACATAGCTGATAATAGTGTAAGACTATTAGACAAGGTCAAGAAGCCTAGATTTTAGTTCGGCTCTGTCTCTGATTTGCTGAGGGCCTCTGAGGAAGTCATTCTGCTTCTTTGAGCCTTATGTTAATCTTGTGTAAAATAAGACAGTTGGAGGATATACTGTGAAGATCCTTGCAGTTCTAAAACTCTATGAATTCCACATATATAGACTTCTTTACAATAGAGGATACAGCTTGTTTACTTCCCTATTCTCAGCACTTAGCACTGTGCCTGGAACACAGTGGTTATATACATGTGGAATGAATGAATGAACAAACCAACCAATGAATAAAATACAGACTGTCCACAAAGAACAATGCTTTTCATTCAAAGCATTTAATATCAAATTTGTTGAATTTTTATAGAGCATTCTTCTAGAATCAAAGCACTTTGCAGACTCAGCAAATCAATACTTCGGATCAAAGCTAAACATAACTAGTAAGACCTGAAAATGCTCTAACAATATATTAATCATGAGTATAATAATAGGAGCTATCTTTATTGAGCATTGCTCTACACAGACACTTGACCAAGTGCTTTATATGCATTTTCTCACTTAATCCTCAAAACAACCCTGTAAAGTAGATGTTAATGTTTCCACTTCATAGGTAAAGAAACAGAGATATACAGGTTAATTCAGATGCCCAAACTCACATATACCCATAATGGGTACAGGTAGAAATCACATCTAGGGATCTGACTCCAAAAGTCTGGTTCTTAATCACTCCGCTGTCCTTACCTCTGACACAGCTAAAAAGCTGTGTCACCTAGCTAAAAGCTGGCTGAGAATTCTATAAAGAATCTATGCATTAACTACAGTCCTTGATACATGAAGCAAATTACATTTTCCTTCTTGTTTATGAAGTACAGAAAAATAATTCCCTAATAAGCTATTCAAAATTATTTTTAATTTAGTGAGTTCAGCAATCTAAGCCCCCAGTAGGTACAACAAATTTTGGTAAAAACAGTAATAGTTACCATCTGTTAGACAATCACTATAAGCCAGGTACTGTGCTTAGTGCTTAATTTTGTATAATCCTTACATCAATCCTGTAAAGTAGGCATTACTTATTCCCATTTTGCTGATAAGAAATCCAAGGCAAAATAAGGTTAAGTAGCTTTGCCCAAAATCATATAATGAATGGCAAAGCCAGAAAACCATTCCTTTTCCATCACATCTTACCTCTTTCAAAGGAAAATACAAAAAAAAAAAAAAAAAAAAATCAAAAATCCTTTTGTCAAGAAATATTTACTTCATTTACATTTGTTTTACAAAGGGAAACAAATTACTTTAATAATTCAATGGTCATTTCTACTTGCCTTTAAGCATTTCCTCTATACTTAATTCTATCTTCATTGGTTTCATAACATTGGTCAATTTGCATTCTCCCATAGCTTGGAATCATGGCAAAGACAAAGTTTACCACAATGAATTGATGGCAAATCCTAGTCTACTCATATTTCAATAAATCCAAATTCTCAATTAACTAAAATGTGCTGCTCTGATACCTTCTAAGCTATATATCTATTTAGAAAAGAAAACGACAAATATCAAGAAAACAACCTGATACCTCGCAAGGGGTAGCTTGGATTCAGTAATTCTTTGATCTTGATATATTACACATGACAAAAGATGATTTTTAGAATCAAGGGAATGTGAGATACCATCTATTATCGATGAATAATTCTAGTATGTCAACTAGGCTGTACTTACCAACGGATGACAGTAACCAAACAAGATTTTTTAATATCAATGATTGAAATAAACAGCAAAGTTCATATGGTTAAGTCCCAAATTAAATATAAAGCATTATTTAGAAATATCCCCTTGTCCAGGCATGGTGGCTCACATCTGTAACCCCAGCATTTTGGGACGCTGAGGCGGGCCAATCGCGAGGTCAGGAGATCAAGATCATCCCAGCTAACACAGTGAAACCCTGTCTCTAATACAAATACAAAAAATTAACTGGTTGCAGTAGCATGCGCCTGTAGTCCCAGCTACTCAGGAGCCTGGGGGACAGAGGAGACTCTGTCTCCAAAAAAAGAGAGAAATACTCCCGTAGAACATGTCTGCAGACATTGCTGTTGAGGTTTGATTGTCCTGAGTCATAAATTTGGATCAAGAACAAGAACTGTTCTTTCAAGAAAAGGGTCCCCAAAATTAACTTGAAAGAGAAATGCAATCCAGTTACATTCCAGAATTTTTTGAGCAAAAATTGAAAAATTCAAAATTTGAACCCAGGAACTTCTTATTTTCTGGGTTGACTTAATGAGTTCACACATTGGCAAGTATAACCTCAAGTATAGCTTGTATCTTACAAAATCAAATTGACATATGGGTCCTTCATTGCCTTTATATTTTGCTGGGTGACAATGTCCATCAATTTTCAGATTCTCTTCCAAAAAAAAAATTAATTTATTTTTTTGTAATCGGTATTAAACCAAATTTGTCAAACACCATCTCAAAGATAGTATCTATGTCTTCTTGCTGTCTTGGCTTGACTCCTCCTGTGACAAGTCAAAAACATATCACACAAACCCACAACCCCCAAGATACCCAAGATTTCTCATTTTCCTTTCAGTTCTTACCTGGATGATAATTTCTGCTGGACTCTCTTCAGCTTTTTTTTGGCCTACATTCTGAATACGCATGAACTGGCCTGTCGCAGGCACAGCTGGTGCATCAATTTTCCTTGTCGTTAGGGAACAGCCAACAGTGGATGGACTTGAACAGGACTCTCTACATTTCTGTTGCTGGGGAGTGGAATTCGCCATCCCTGCGACCACCATGTGGGTGGAGGGTAATGATCCTGCTTCACCAGTGAGCATGCTAGTGGCAAGAGCCTTCTTTGGGGGATCCACTATCATATGTTCTACATTTGTATCAATCTGAGCTTCCATCAAAGACATTTTCAAAATGTCAGACACTGCTGTCTTCTCAGAGGCCTGAATGGGAGATATGCTTGTAACTGGTGATGTCAGCTTAGGCACAGAACTGCCACCAGTTATCTTTGTAACTGTGGGAGGCTGGCGCCCCTCAAAAGTTATCTTTGTAACAGAGGATCCTTGGGTTATAATTGGCTGCTCCACCTGAAAATAAATTGGGGTTGTGCGTGTTATAGCTACAACTCTTTGAGAAAACCTAATCAAATACCCCAGACAATATGGCAAAAGAAACATTCGTGTGCTATATACTAGGAAGACAGTTTTGAAGCTTGCTGTTTCAAAAAGAGGGCTGAATAGGAAGGATCTGGTTGCTTTTACAAAACCTAGAGAAAGAGGAGGGGTTGAAAGAACCTTTGTTCAGCCAGCCAAGGTTTATAGCAAAATAAAGAAAAAAATAGTCTCAGTAGCCTAGTCTTCCTTTGGGATTTCTATCCCTAAACAGTACACCTTCAACCTGTCTCAAATTATTTCATATAATCTTCTGCTTTTTAAAATAAAAAGAATATTTTTCCAATCTTTTGCTTCGAAATACATGTATATAAACATATACTACATATATGTATTTATAATATATACATACATATATATCACTCCAGAGCCACTGGCTTTGCTAACATAATTTTGCTTTCAATTATCCACCAATAATTCCTCTGTAATCTAGAAGATAAATCTAAAAAATAAATTTAAGTAGATGGCTATAATATAAACTACAAAGAAAGATGTTCAATGAAGTTCCTTTAAAGACTGCAGTTTACTTAGCATTATTGCCACAGGAATCAGAGTTTATGGGCATGGAAATAAATATTTTATACCAAAAAATAAAAATAATTTAAAGATATCGCTTCTATGCACTGTTGGTCAATGCTGAAGTGATTTCAGTAAAAACTGCCTGGAAAATCAAGTTCTGAATGCTATGCTTTTTTTTCTTCCTACATATTAATGCGTGCATTTCTTCCCTAATGTCAACCTTCTGATGGGGCAAAGTACTACCAGCGTAATGAGGCTTTTGGGTTTCCTCTTGCCAGGAGAAAGCACTGATAATCATGATAGGGTCGTGATGGTCTCATTTTTTTTTTTTCCGTGAACAGAGAAGTTTAACTTTGCATGCTATCAATATTCCGTTACCTGGCTTGCCGTCTGTTTCTCTGACGAAGCTGGGAGCGACATTTGGCTCTGGGGGGTTTGGGGTTGCACGTAGATTTTTGGTTGGTTCGGAGCCTGCTGCAGTTTAGGGAGCTGCTGCGTGGTTTTCACTGCAAGCACCTGTACTACAGTTTGCGGGGGCTGTGCCATTAAGGTAGGAAGCTGCCTGTCTTTGGTCACCATAGGATGCTGTGTGTGCTGTACATCTGGCTTGGGCTGTGCTTGTTCTTGCTGCAGAGGGGTGAGTTTTTGATGCCTGATGGAAAGCTGGGGCATTTGCGGGAGTTTGTGCTGGAGCTGGTCTGCCTGCAGGTGGATGGTCTGCTTTTGTTTAGTCTGGAAGCACTGCAGAGTTTTCACTTGCAGCTGAGTCTGTTCCAGCGGGGGTTGGCTAAGTTTCTGCTGTTTAGCTGACTGTGACTGAGTCAGGGCAGATCGGTAAAACAGACCTGTCTGAGGGTCTAAAGTGTCCATCTCTTCAACCTCGCCCTCCTCAGTTGCAAGTTCCTCGCTGTGTTTGGTAAAAGCAGTGTGACTGCTTAATGCCTAAGTAAAAAAGGCACAAAGTAAGAATGAAATAAGAAAAACATCTGCATTGCTACATTTTCCTCTTAACTGAAAAAGACTTATAAGATTCATTCAAAAAATTTCAGAAGAACCTAGAAAGACCAAGAAACCTCAGGGAGCTTTAGACTGAAACTCTTGCAATTTCAACTCTCAGACATTAAGTACTTCAAAAACTGGTTTACTCGCTACTATAAGAAAAGTCTTAGAGAATCCAGAACTTACAGATTAGAATAAGATGGCCCTGCAAGCACAGTCTAACATGGAAAAAAGAAGAGAAATGCTTCCTGGCTGAGGAAACAGCTGTCCAGCCGATTCATAATGTTACCCTGTCTGAAAGCAGCAACCAAGGCATGAGGTCCAGAGAAAAACCAAAGTTCAGAGAAGCCCACTGTGGCCATGTGTACATCCAGGGCTGTCTGGAAGGTCAGGGAGATTGTCTGAGACCCATGCCTGTCCCAGTCCCCACAGAGAGCCCCCTGCATGGGTGGAGATCATTCTTCACCTTGGCTTCACCAAGGTCTGCAGGAAGCACCTCCCAACAAGAATTCCTCTCTCCTTTGCTCAGCTCCCAGGCCCATCAGACAATAGCATCCTAGAGCCCTGGCTCCCAGGAGGGAAGGAGATGGAGGAGAGGATAAGAGCATTCCTGTCAGTAGACAGGAGAGTGCTCTGTGTCAGTGCTAAGTGTTGTGAGGAGGCATCATCTTGACTGACAGCTTAGGGTCAGCCTGTCAGACCTCTCTAGGTGACTGGAGAATGGTCAGTGTCAGGACCTGCCAGGTGAGGGCTAGACTCCAGGCTGACACCTGCCACCCAACAAAACCTCCAGCCAGTTGGCTTCCCTCAGTGACATAACAAGATCCAGCCTATCCCCAACCTTCCTACTGCCTTATCATATGCAACACTTAAATTCTAAACTATAAAATTTTGAGATTCAACTGTAATTCTCCCATATACCATAATGACTTTGCATATACAGGCTTTCAATTCAACATTTTTCATTGCCTTTCTTTCAAGTAGTTTGCCTCCAATTAGATTCATCACCATGTGAGTGATGGTGACTTATGTGACTACTACTAATAAATCATGCTTTAATCACGATATCCATGATATAACTATTTAACAGAGGCAGTTCACTTTGGGTTTAAATCCTCGCTCTGCCACCTGGAGCAAGTTTCTTACTTTCTTACTGAAGTGAGCATAAGTTTCCTCACTTGTAAAAGAGGGATAATACACCCAACCTTGCAAGATCATAGTAAGAATTGAACAAGTTAATATACTTAAAGCTCGAAGTACAGTATCAACCTATCAACATACTTTTCCTTTTTCCCATTCCCCTTAATACCTGATGTCCTATTTTACATTAGATTTATATTCTCAACTTGTAATTGACCACTTATAGTTAAAAAAGTCAAATATTTATTTTCCTACTTATTCATAATGTTACCAAGAGGAAGGATTCATTATAAAAACAAAATACAAAACAAAAAAAAATCCAGCAGCAAACAGCTAAACAAGCCAAATGTTCTCATTTGAACATCTTATTTATCTCAATGATAAATTCTTTGACAATAAAATACACAAAAACAGTGACCAATTCTGATGTCATTAGATTCATCTAGACATTCTCACCCTTTTGAAATGTTAAGAGTTCACAGATTTAAGAATATTGTTTCAGAATTATTTTCTGGTGTTAAGACCCTTAATTCATTTCTTTACTCATTTCTTAGAAAAGAATTACACAAACACTCTACATCTCATTATTTCTCCTCTTAAAATACAAGATGACACTGAATCTTATTTCAAGCATGGGCAGTTTCAGAAGATAGGAAGAAAAAGAAGAGATACAACCTGCTGCATAATGTGGGTTATTGCTCCAGGGGAAGATGCTGGGATTGACTTCACCACCACCGAAGTCTGTGTTGCGGTCTGTGACTGAGCCACATGCTGGAGCAGGGTCCGCTGGGGCTGGGAAGGCTGTTGGGGCTGGGAGCGATGGCTGACTGAAAATAGAGGAGGTGATGATATTTCTCCAGAAATCACCACAGCATCTGTAACCAGTAGTCATTTTAAACAAATGTCTGTGAGCTTGTATCACAGAAAGAAAGTGTAGTATTGTGTACTAGGAGGCAGAAGACCACAGTCTGCCCATCTATGAGCTGTGTGACTCTAAGAAAGTCTCTTATCTTCTCTGAGACTGTTTCCTCATCTGCAAAATGGGAATAACAGAGCTATTATAAGGATGAGATGAGAAATGTATATGGAAGCACTGTGAAAACTTATCACAAAGGGGGAATAAACCCCTTAAAGTTGCATCCTCTTGTGAGCTGTACTCACTTTCTCCAGTGACTTTCATCCAGTTAAGGTAACAAAGCAGTAATCAATTTCTGTAATCCCAAAATACTATTTTTAAGGAAAGTAATGCAATACAAGTTCTTTAATCTCTTGGTCTCAGTTCCACATGCAATAAAAACATCAGTAGCATTCACTCCTTTAAATTAAGTGATTCTGTCTTACAACCTTACAGTTCCTAAAAATCTAAAGGTCTGGGTGAGACTGCAGAAAATAAACTGGACCAAGAATCACACTTGGATTCTGTCCTGTTCTACCACCAACCAGCCATGTGAATTTGAAGAGGTCACTCATCTTCTATTGGCCTCTAAAACCTAAGAGGTTTTGTTTTGTTTGACTTTGTTTTTAATGGGATAATCAAAGCTTGCTGTTTCTACCTAGGAGAGGACCAAATGAAGTCACAGATTGAAAAATGGTCCTTAAACTATAAAGTACTAAACAAATATAAAGAGTTAACAAAAGAATAGAAAAATGTTCTATCATCTCAAATTCAGCTCATATGACATGAATGGGCAAGAGTGCAGTACAGGAAACATCCCTGCTTCTTACTCTCCTATTACAAAGGTCTTACTCTTTTCAAAGAATAGACCTTTTTACAAATATAGACCTTTTAAAAGCTCTATTCTTATTCTCTTACTCTCTTGCTATAAAGGTCTCATGAAGTAACCAATCTATCAAATCTTACCAGCTTTAATTCCAACTTTTTATTCATTTATTTATTTATTTTGAGACAGAGTCTTGTTCTGTTACCCAGGCTGGAGTGCAGTGGCACAATCTCCGTTCACTGCAACCTCCAACTCCTAGGTTCAAGCTATTCTCGTCCCTCAGCCTCCCAAGTAGCTGGGATTACAGATGAGTACCACCACTCCAGACTAACTTTTGTATTTTTAGTAGAGTCAGGATTCTGCCATGATGACCAGGCTGGTCTTGAAATCTTGGCCTCAAGAGATTCGCCTGCCATGGACTCCCAAAGTGCTGGGATTACAGGCATAAGATACCATATCCGGCCTCAACTTCAACTTTTTACACAGTCTACAGAGCTTTAAAAATGCTTATGGTGACTGGGAAACTCATCCTTTGAATTAGAAACAGATAAAATACAACATATCTGTAAATTAGCTAAGGATTTTGGGATTACTGAAACTCTCTCAATAATCCACGATTCTAATGTTCATAAACCCTGATCTACAATTTCAAATAGCACTGATTTTCTGTTTAGAAAAGTCATAGTGGGGTGTTCAAGAATAACATGATCACTATGGAAATCAAAGTAAGAATGCCATTTGTGTATTATAAGGATTAACTTTAACACTATCCAACGACATACAAATAGGCTTTTTTTTAATGATACATTCTATCTATATTCACAAACATTTTTCTATTGTTGCTATACATACATCTACATGTGATGTGAGACTATAGGCAGCATCTCCAGTATTCTTTTATAAATGTACTGTAGTATCTTACTATATTTCACAGTATGCTTTATATGTACATTATGTTAAATTATGTTGAGCTAATAAAATCTTCCATATATGTTCAACATAACCAAAAAAAAAATAGTCGAGGTTTACTTTAAAACAACCATGACTGAAATAGTTTACAATATGACTGGGTAGAAAAAACAAATTATAATATTAAAATTAAGCAGAGTAATAGTTTTTAAATAAAAGCACTGGAAATGAATGACATATGAAAATAAATAATACATTTCAGATGAAATCATCAATTATATGGAACACTTCTACTGCCCAAACTAATCTTCATAATTATTACATTAAGTATTTTTTTTATTAAGAAGTGAAATGGATTTTTAAAAAATCAACTAAATCTACTTAAAAATAATTCTCCTTCAATTACTTCACAGTAATTCTCCAGAGTTCAGGAAAGTTAGAACTAATATCCACTACAGAATAATACAAGGGGCAGGCCAAGTAGCTGGTTTTTAAGTCAAAGAAAATGCTTAACATGGCTATGGATATGATGGGTGGAGATTATGAAAGAAGGTCATAGAATAAACACTTGGAAAACAGCTGAAGTGACCTTAACTGGGCCATATAAACACCATAAAGCAGCCATTTTGTTATTTTAAAGAACTCTTTTGTTGCAGTGTCAAAAGGCTCATTTCTGAGAAATAATTCCACTATTCTACAAAAGGAAAAATCTCTCTTCCTTTCACTAAGTGGAGCTTACCTTTCCTCTACCAGATGAGAGTAGAGCGCATCCATTTAAGTGGTTCCCCCCAAAACAATCATCTTTTACCTTCAGTGATACTACAAATGGATGCACACCACTTACCTAGAAGGGGAAAAGCAACCTCTGTCCCCTCATCAGTGCGTTCTGAAAGGATAAGTAAGGGAAGAAATCATAGGTCTTTTCATCTGTTCACCATGTGATAATCTAGTCTACCCCAAGAGGTTAATATTAAGTTCCCCAGAATACTGGCCTCTGCTTTAGCTTTCTGCTAAATATCTCTAAAGAAAGATTCTAGATGGCTTTCCATATCTTACCTGGATTTTACCCTTTGGCAATTTTAACCCATTAGTCTTAATAATATTATCTCCTAAAATGATGCCAATAAATTCCTTTTCTCTTTGGTATTTATGTCCTTCAAATATCTGTAAGTTTATGTTCTCCTGTAACCACTGCTAAAAAAAACTTAAGATAGGAGTCATCTACATACTGCCTCACAAGTCATCTTTCTTAAAAGCCCTTAATTAGTCAGATTACTACTCTCTGGACTATTTCAAATTTCAAGGTAATAAACTGTTCAAAAGAAAAAGCAGTATTCCAGGTGTGGTCTCATCAGAATAGGAGAAAAATAATCTATCTTGCTTTATTTCTCTGTATATGCCATCTAAACATCTCGGTGTTTTGCTGCCAGACCACATTTTAAACAAATACCTAATCTGCTTTCTACCAGAACTTGTAAGTATTTACATGGATTTAAGGGTTTCTTGGTTTGTTTTTGTTTTTATTTTGAGACAGTCTCCCTCTGACGCCAGGCTGAAGTACAGTGGCGTGGTCTCAGCTCACTGCAACCTCCACCTCCCGGATTCAAGCGATTCTCATGCCTTAGCCTCCCGGGTAGCTGGGACTACAGGCAAGTGCCACCAAGCCTGGCTAATTTTTGTATGTTCAGGAGAGACAGGGTTTTGCTATGTTGGCCAGGCTGTACTCAAACTCCTGATTTCAAGCAGTCTGCCTGCCTCAGCCTCCCAAAGTGCTGGGATTACAGGCGTGAGCCATTGTGCCTGGCCAAGGTTTTCTACTTTTTGAAAACTATTAAAAGGGTTGGATTTTATTCCTTCTTTCCCCCTTAACCCCACTTCCCACAAAACTAAAAAATCCTGATGCATAAAAATGCTTATTCTAGGCCAGGTGCAGTGGCTCATGCCTGTAATTCTAGCACTTTGGGAGGGCAAGGTGGACATATCTCTTGAGCCCAGGAATTCAAGACCAGCCTGGGCAACATGGTAAAACCACAGCTCTACTAAAAATACAAAAAATTAGCCAGGCATAGTGGCACACACCTGTAGCCCCAGCTACTCAGGAGGCTGAGGCAGAAGGATCACCTGAGCCCAGGAAGTTGAGGCTGCTATAAGTAGTGATCATGTCACTGTACTCCAGCCTGAGCAACGGGAGTGAGACCCTGTCATACACACACAAAAAACCCTCATTCTTAGACAAAAAATATTTTATCCTCTCCCTACAACTGTTGTTGTATATTCACAAATGTTATTTATGGCTGACTTGTAGTTTTATATTACTTAAAAACTTTGTAACATCCTATTTGTTTTTTCCAAGTCATTAAAGACAGGGTAAATCCCAAGGATGATGTGAATTTGCTCTGAAAACAAACAGGAAAAAAGCTAAAAATATAAAGAATATATTCTCCCCCAAGTAATCACCCCATGAAATCCAGAAAGGTAGTTCTACCTTAACACTATGTTTTAAGAGGACACCTACCAGTAGTGATGTATTCAGCTACTAGTTCTGACTCTACCACAGCAATTGACGGACTCTCAGGAGAATGTCTCTTTTCCTGGGTCATCTGAATAGGCACTGCCATCTGACTCAGGTCAATGGTGGGTTGTCTTGGTTTAGATTCCAATTTTTCCTTTACTGCATAAAAAAGTCGGGGAAAAGTTAACTTTTATTACAACTACCAAAACCAGAGTTGTCCACAGGAATAATGAACCAGACCTCTGGGGTGCCACACTGGCAATGACTAAGCAGACAGTGAATTGAAAATAAGAAAGCAGGTTGCTATGTATGGCTATTTAGTGAACAACTTGCATAACCATACTCAGCAGTCTAGTAAGAAGGACTCACATCCAATAATACAAAAATCATCTCCCTTTTAGCTCTAGACCAAGCAACTGAATTTTTCTCTTGTACACACTCCCCTTAAGGTATTTCCTATATCCTTCTTCGAGGTATTCCCTGATGGTCTTGAGTTCATTAACCTAAAAATGAAGGGTAAATAAGCAGTACATAACATTATTTGCTCTAGGACACATCTACCCAGAATAGCACAAAACAGTGACCAGTTTAATTCGAGCTATTAAAACTTCAAGGTATCTCCAAAGGAATGTTACAATGTCTACGATGTCTTCAACAATTCTTAAAGGATACAAATTTTCCTTGTTAGAAAAAAAAAATGGCTTCTTTGTTTCTACAAAAATATGACAGTCTGATATGACAGTCTGGAATCAAGAATGGTTTACGTGAATAGACTCGCTTTCTACCTTGTTATCAATTTTCCTATAAAATCTATGTGTTCAACGTCCCCACCTTTATAAGAAATCCATTATCAGAAATGGCTGAGTATGTCAACGACAAAGAATTGAGGAAATGCCTAAGGCCAAAAATAACACCAACAGAAGGATTAACCAAAGACTTACATTAAATGCTAGTAATCTTTGGATCTTACAAGGTGGAAGTTACAATAAACAGTAACCAGTAACTAAGTCCACTGAATGTTCATACCCACTGAGTACATAACCTGACAAAATCAGAACAATTATTTAAAACAAAATAAGTAAAACAACAACAAAAATAAATAAATACAAAAGTCACCCTACAGGTAGAGAGGACACTGAACTAGGAACCAAAAGATGAGTCTCTGTCACTAACCAACTGGATAACCTTTCTAGATCTCAGTTTATTTATCCATAAAATGAAAAGGCTGGATGACATAATGGCCAAGGTCATTTAAATACTCTGAAAATCTTTGACCTATTATAATGGAAAAGTCAGTATAACTTCCACAGGTTTGTTCTAGAGTTTATCAATAATATTTAGTAATTAGAAATACTGACAGGATCTTGTTACATGAGGACAACTTTGTGTGACAGCTCAAGTGGCTAACCTATACTATTCAAAGAAGTAAGTCTGAAGATAAAATTAAGACAAATCAGAATGTTAGCAAGGGCCACTAAAGGTGTTTTATGACCACAAAACTGCTCACCAATATCAAGGAAGATGGCAGGGCCCTTCAATCTGCCTCCTGCTATTCTTAAATTGGCTACTGTACTGTATCTAGCCTTGTGCTTAGAGGTGATGGAACTACTCCTTTCTAGTGCTAAGAAACAATAGGACTGTTCAGTTTAAGCAGGAGACAAAGAAGACAGCTGTCAATTTTTTTCTCCTTTCTATAGATAGTTCATCTATACTTTAGTACTCCTATGCACATCTTACTGAACTAACAAGCAAACCAGACTGTACCAATGATTATAGACAAGTCCAGAGGGGGGAAATGTGCTCAAATAATAGCAATAATAATAATAATAATAATAATAAATAATAGTAATAACAATAACAGTGGTAGTATTTTAGCACAACCCATCTCTAGAGAAAACATGCTTCATTCAATTGAGCATGTGAATTCATACCTGTTGTCTGTTGGAGTTCTAACAGAGCTTTGATTGTTGAAGTAGCTGATTGTGATTCACTGGATACATCCTGATAAATTATGGTAGGGCTAGTCTCCATTGCAATCTCATGTTCTGACCAATCCTGACGCCGGGAAGCAATTACATGAACTACAGGCTGGGAATCTGTTTTATATTAGTTAAAAAAAAACAAACCCTATAAACAAAGTTTCTCTTAAAAAAAAAAAAAAGCAATTTTTTTGTCTGATTTTTTATATTTCTATTTATTGTAAATTTCATGCTTTATCTCCCCAAGAAGACGATAAGCCCCTAGAGGGCATAATGTCTTTCACTTCTGAATTCACTTATTCATTCACTCATTCATTGATTCCACAAACTGGACACTTATGTGCCAGAATCTACATATGGCATTGAAAATAAAAAGGAGCTGACAGAATAATCAGAGGATGCTTAAGAAGCACACAGTGTGGTTGGGGAGACGGACATGTAAAAAGACAAATTACAATTCAACGTGATAAGTGCTATTATAAATAGATATGCCTTTGTGTAGGTGAGTGCAGGTTTGTGTACGGTAAGAACAAAATGCTGTAGGAGTTTTACTTTCTCCAATGCACCTGAAAATATGTGCTGTATTACAGCCTGAGCATTCTGTCAACACTTATTGGATAGCTGAATTACTGAAGGAAATCCTGTTCACTGCCAGCAAGAAAAGACAGATGACTTAGGCAGCATGATATAACAGGACAAGTGTAGCATCTGGAGTTCAAAGTCATGGGTTATAGCCCCAACTCTATCAATTATTAGCAAATTGATCCTTCGGGTCTTAGTTTCACAACTTCTAAAATGGGACAATAAAAAATTACCTCTCTATCTCACAGGATTTCTGAGTATACAATGAGATGATACATGGAAATGAGCTTTATAAACTATGAAGGCCAAAAGAAAATTTATTATTCTTGCTATTATAACTTGGAGGTTTTCAATTCTGAGACCCTTTTTAGTTTCAAAATAAATTACAAGCCCTAATCCAAGGCTTATTATATTCATGCTATACAGGTACATATATAAATACTAAATTTGTATCAAATCAAGCAACAAGTTACTTTTTTTTTTTTTTTTTCAGTTTTCCACCTATAAAATAAGCAAGTTGGACTAGACTATTATGAACTTCCTAAACTCCTTTGTCCAAGATGCCATAGAAGAAATTGTGGAGGATATAAAGACATGATTCTTTCTTCTAAATTTGATTATAATGAGGGGAAACATCAAGTAAAGATATATGGCTTTGTAGCCTGGGGCAAATAGCAAATGATTAGGGCAAACAAGACAAACAGAAAGAGGCTGTTTTGAATTGGGATGGTCAATGAAAGCATCACAGAAGAATGAAAAAAATTCAAGTAGCCCCCAAAACAAAAATAAACATAATAAACATTTAATCTGTGAACCTTATATTTTTTAAAGCCACAAAGTTGTTGAAAAATGTTGGGACAAGAAGAACAACTCTTGCAACAAAACAGCCTTCCTGAAAAAAACAAAATCAATATACAATAGATCTAGTATTTTTAATTACCACGAATAAACTATATTTTCCTTCCCAAAACACAAGGTAGAATATATGCCACACTAAAGATGTGTAATTTTCCATTAAATATCCCCAGAAACACAGAAGACCAGATACTATCCTGCAATACTAAATGACATGTGAAGCATATAGCCATTTTCATTTATTCATTTTAAGTAGATATGTAAATTTAAATGTAAGCAAATTGATTATATTACAAAATCATTCCTTTTATGTAACTTAATCTTTCAAACTTAAGAAATTTTCATAATGATATAGGCAAAGAATGACTTTGAAACCAACCCTACAAGATACACTGAATATCCACAAGGCAGGGACTGTATTTATAGAAATAAAGTAGAAAGAGATAAGAAAAGGAAAACAAATTTCCATAGGAGAGTATCTATCAAAGACCATCATCCCAAACAACATCACCTCGTAAGTACTAGAGAGATTCCTCCATCTCTTTCTGTCTATACTCAGAAAGAGCAGCTGACCATCATAAATATTACCATAGCAACCCTAAGAGCTGTGACAAAAGATGAGTGTGTGAACCTATGTGGAAACCAAGCCTTGAATGATTCTCCCTCCCACTTTTGGTTTATGCTTAGACCTAAATGAATCTACTGGCTGCTAAGTCACAGAATGCAATGACTAGGACATCAGGAGCTTGATCTCACCAGTAATGTGCTTATGCACTGTGCATTCATCTAGATTTCCTGTGTCTCTTGCAGATGGTGGCCTGCTATGCCTCAGATGTTTTTCTGCACTCAACAAGTATTTATTGGATACCTGCACGTTAGGTACTAGAGATACACACTTTGGTATTATATTCAAAGACAGACTCAGACATCTCTATGGAAGAATAAATATCTCCTATGTCTCTCTTAGAAATGGCCTATATCATACTTTCATAGAATCTTAAGACTTCTCAGTTAGAAGGGATCTTAAAGTTTGTTTAATACTGCCATCAATCTTATACTAAAATCTTCACAATATTCCCATGGGTCTGAGAACTCCAGCACCAAAGTACTCACGACTTTCTAAGACAGTTTCCTTACAACTCTGCATAGTTATGACAATCAGAAAGTTTTTTTCATATTGAGTAGAAACAGGTCTTGTTGTGACTTCTACTTAGTGCTTCTAGTATCTGTTCCTGTAGCCACAAAGACAAATTCTTTTCCTTCTTCCACATCACAGTCCTCAAGATAACTGACAAAACTCCTATGTCCCCACAAATCCAACCAACCTCATCTTCTCTTCTCCATGATAAATATCCTGTCTCCACCAATTATTGCTCATACAGTGATTCCAAATACCTTACACACCTAAATCATTGCTTCTAAACTAAACCTAAGAATGTGTATCCCTTTTATGATGTAATATATACTTTCCCTCTAAAGCATTGTTATAAAGCTCAAGGCCTTCTTAGTATTTAAATGCCTAGACAGCAAGGCCCAAAATGTTCCAGAGAACATTTGTTCCTCAAGATGTTCCGCAAGAAAAAAAAGGTTTCCATGGTCAAAAAGTTGGGGAACATTTTACATTGTATCTTCCACTCTTCATCTTTCATATATATATTAGCACGTAATGGCTCTGAAAAGTTCTGCAGTAAGTTTGTTTCTGCTCAATCTGGATTTATTTCCCACCCTCACCTTGACCTACCAAGATCATGAAGCTTCAGAAAGAAATTATCCTAGAAACTAAGTTATGACTTACTCAAAACAATGTCTTTACAAGATACATTTTTGTATCTGACCCATGCCTTATTTCATTATAAATCTCTACCCTTGGTTTTGTCTCCTTTCTTTCTTCCACTTCACTTCATATAATCTTATATTTTAATCTACCTTAAAACCTTTTGGAAACAAAGCAGAGTGTAAATAGTCTTGAATACTTGTTTTGTTTTAAAAAAAATCTGGAACCCATTTCCAAATAAGTTCTAGACTACCCCATTCCTAAATGAGAAAGGGTTTTAAAAGCCCATTTAGGAAGAAAAGCACAAGAACAATGTAAGACATATGACCTCATCTTCAGTAAGTGACCTAGGCAAGTATGGCCTTAATCCATTAGGCTTGGTCACCTAGCTGTATATCCATATCTAAGCAACAGTCATGTATACTACTTACTACTTAAAAGGCCCACTCACAAGATTAGGAGGAACTCCAGGAAAAAAAACCCAACATTTTGGACTCAGGCAACAAAAATACCTTTATACGGCTGAAGCGTAACCCAATGCCACAGTTACGATGGTTGCTGGTCTGCTATTTGTTCATTTGGTGAAACTTAACTGAGTACCTTATCAGTCCTAACTGAACTCTTTGATAAATACCAGATACGTATGAAGATGAATATAATCCTTAAACTCTAGAAGCTAGTAGCCTAGTGGGGAAGAAAACAATTATAATACACAAACAAAACATACAAAATAAAATGATCAATGTTAAAAGAGTTGATAGTACAAAGCAATATTGGAAGCCTAATATAGAAGAATGAATCCTCTTGCAAGGAAAGTCTCAAAATAGATTATATTCTAGCCTGTAAGGAGACAGTTGAGGAATAAAACAGTTGAAGAATAAAAACTTCTCTTCCTTGGGGGTGGAGGACAGTAGGTGACGTTCAGAAACCACAAGTGGAATCAAGGTATTCTCTTGGCATACGCCATCCTTATTCCAGGGCTTGTGTAGCAGAAGTCACCAGAAAAAGGATCTGAAGTCAAGAAAAGATTGATTTTTCCTTAGAGTAAAATGCCAACTATTAAATGTGCAAAGATTAATGAACTTTGGAAAATCATCTATGGATGCTAAAACTACTGGATAAGTGTTTGATGAGGAACATGATATTTATATCATATACCTTCCTACAAATTACTATTAATCTCAAAGGGAAACATGTTAACTTCATAGTGGAGAAAACTAAAAGGCATCATCTTAACCAAGTGATCAATGTTAACATCAACTACGCTGGGACAAACTGACATCATGTTTCCCCTGATAAAACTGAGGATAAAACACCGTATCTGTGGAATTCCCAATGAATCTAATCATGAGAAACAGCAGACAAAACCAAATTGAAGAATATTCTACAAAGTAACTGATCTGTACTCTTCAAATATCAAAGTCAAAAAATACAAAGAAAGGCTGAAGACCTATTCCAGATTAAAGAGAATTTAAAAACCATGACAGTTAAATGCAGCTAAATGCAATGTGGCAATCTGAATTTTACTGAGGACAGGTGAAAACCATAAAGAACATTATTAGATAATTAACAATCGTTGAATATGAATTGTAAATTAGACAATATTATTATAACATTAAAATTCTTGATTTTGATCATTGTATCTCAGTCATAAAGAGAATAATCTGTAAGAAATATAGGCCTACAAATGTAAGTAAATATAAGAAACAAGATAGCTCAACTTACACTCAAATGGTTAAGAAATTTTAAAAATATACACACACATAGCAGAAGGGAGACAGAAAATCAACAACAAAGCAAATGGGGAAAAATGTAAATAAGTAGCGAATCTAGGGATTGAGTATATATAGGAGTTCTTTTTACTATTCTTTCAACTGTTCTGTAATTTTGAAGTTATATCAAAAGAAAAGGTTACTTTAAAAAGAAAAAAGTGGCGAAGAACTACAAAAGCAACAATGTAACAGAAAAATAAACTGCAATGTAGTACTTACATTCTCAGTAAGTAGGAAGTAGTCATATACTTTAAAAATCAGCATGACCTGAGATTAACCAACATCTTAATCCCTTTCTCTTTAAATCACAGCATATATATTCCCAGACCCAGTCTCTGTAAAAATGTAGTAAGCAGCTATACAAAGAGATAAGGAGAGCAGCAAACATATTATAAAAATGTGCTTTATAGTCAACTACTCTAAATTGTGAATTTTTCTGCCAGAGAATATTTTTAAAAGTAATATACAATGAAAGATACATTAGGTTGGTGCAAAAGTAATTGCAGGTTTGCCATTAAAAGTAATGGCAATTGCTTCTAAATAAAAATAGAAGACACAAACATATGTCCCATTCTTGGAATAAAAACTGAAGATTCAGCTGGGGTGGTGGCTCACGCCTATAATCCCAGCACTTTGGGAGGCTGAGGCAGGTGGATCACCTGAGCTCAAGAGTTCAAGACCAGCCTGGCCAATATGATGAAACTCCATCTCTACTAAAAATACAAAAAATTAGCTGGGCATGGTGGCACACGTCTGTAATCCTGATTATTCAGGAGGCTGAGGCAGGATAATCTCTTGAACCCAGGAGACAAAGGCTGTAGTGAACCAAGATCACACCACTGCACTCCAGTCTGGGCAACAAGAGCAAAACTCCATCTCAAAAAACAAAAACAAAAACCGGAAGATTCAACTAATGAATGGCTTGTTTGGGAAGTACTAATTGGTTTACAGCTCTTTTAGGACAGGATTAACAATTTCAAAGAATAACCTGGGATTATGGATATATAGACTTCTACTGTTCATGTCCCCTTTTTGCATCAATTCATACTAAACATTTTACCCGCCCTCTTTGAAAATATTATCTTGAGGGCAAAAAAAGCCAGTATTATTCAAGAAACTGCAGACCAAAAGAAGTGATTAGAAATTAAGCATCATTCAAGTGTAACCACTGCTGGTTGACTTGACTCAAAGTCAGTACAGAATGATAAAGTCAATCTTAGCAAACTGATTTCAGAAAATATTACTATCATTGATAATATGTTAAAGGAAACTATCCACTCTTCATGACTACCATATTATGTTTGACAAAATCAACATTTTCATTTATTTTTAATTGATGAATTTTCAGTGAACATTTTGAATCCTTTCTTATCCTCTCCTCTCTTTACTGGAGTGTCAACTTTCAGCCTTTAGCATATTTTTGTTTGTTACTAATAAAATTCTTATATTAGAGTTGTATATGTATTTTTAAAATCCCTATTCTAGATCTAGATTTTACACTCCTGGAGGGCAAGAACTATATTTTACTCCTCTCTAGGGTCTAGCACAATGCTTAGTATGTAGTATAAACTAATAAATAATTGTCAAATTGAATTAATGGGCAACGTGAACCATGTAAAACTAATCTGGGAAGACTCCACCAAAGACTTAAAATAATAGTGTTTGCACAATATGAAGACTGTGTATGAGAAAAGTGAAGTTGCTAAGAAAGCACTCCAGAGAGGATAATGGGGAGGCAGAGAGAGAGAATGGGCTGTGGAAAGAACACGGGAAGATAAACAGCTTTGCTTAGATGCATCAGAGTACACAAGCACAGACATAAATGTACCACCCAACAATAAGAGGCAGTTAAGATAACTGAAATACATGAATACTAGATTTGTAGAAGGTCTCAAAGCTTATGATCATGAGTTTATTTCAAGGGACTTCCTAGAAGAGTAACATAATTCAAACAGCACTGAAGACAAAGAGTTTCCTACTGTAGAATCCAGCTTCATAGCTCTTTCCTTATAATTAGGACAACCATATGATTATCTGGGATAATCATTTCAGAGTGAAAGGGAGTACTTTAATAATTGTACCAGAACAACATAAACTAGGACTTGTCCCATACAGTCAGTCACCCTACTTACAGCCTGCCTAAAGTCTACCTCTAGCCACCTTGATTCTTTCTCAGGGTACAGCAACAACCATTTCAAAATGTATATTCACTTCTTTGCATACTTTTTCTCCTACTTACCCAAACCAGACAGGAAGAATATGGAATTTACCATCTAGGAATCATATCCCTATCCAGTTTAATATTACCTACCTGATAGATGAATCATCTAAAGTTTACCAATTATTTGATGAACATATGCCATGCAAGAAATAATGGTAACCTTTACCAAAAATAAAATTTCAGCTCACCGATTTAACAATAAACAACAACAAAAAAATAAAGCCAAAAGAGTTGACAAAACATACAGTTTGTTGTGAAATGCATAGAAGCAACCTCTATTTTAGAACTTGGGCACTATGTCAGTAGTACTTACACAAATCAGAAGTAAAACAGATCTTACCTTGGGAACTCTGGGAGGACTCTGTAGAAGAGGAACTACTGTCTGTATAACTCTGTGGTTCTTCTTTTCCTTCCTGAATAGATGAATTACCAGCCTCTGCTACCCTGGATGCTTGCTGCAGTGTTTCTGTTACTAGCTGTCTTGTTTGTTCACTAACAACTGTCGCTTGAAAAGTCACTGGTTTGGGTTTAATAAGAACCTAGAAGAAAAGCAGAAATATACTGAGATGAAATTTTACAACACGATTTTAAAATGCTATACTTCTAGGTCATAAATACTTTCCTGGTATGGAAAATATTCTGTACATTATGCTTTTTAGGCATAGCATTGCTCATCAAAGAGTAATTCAATCTACAGACAAATTACAGTGTAAGCCAAATACAATGTTTTAAGTGGTACATGCCAGACTGCAATAGCCATGACTCTGACAAGAACTTTTGTGCCTGTTTTTTCTTGTCTAAAGACTTCAGGAGTCATTTTACAATCTGTAGGCTATATAGTAAAATGATAGCCACAAGTTGAGGATGGCAGAACAAAAAGACACAAGGAATTTAGATTCCCAGTAGAATTTTTGTGCTGCCATATCAGTCTAGGATTTCCTTCCTCTGAACTTGTATTAATATAATAAAAATAAAACCCTAATCTGCAACAGCCAATTTCTTTAAGTTTTTTTTTTATTAGAAACTAAATCAAATTCCTAACTGACACATCTTCATAATGTAAACTTGCTTGGGACCTAAAGTAATCTTTGCTGAAATCCTCAGATTAATATTGATTTAGACAACTATCAGAAGCAACATGGAACATATGTTGGATCAACTCCTGGCAAAACTCAAAAACAGACACTGAAACAAGTGAAATGGGAGAAAATTTTCAAAATGGCCATTCCACTTCAAAATCTGAACTCTAGGAGTTCATTTCAATTGGGTCCATAAAATAAAAAATGTTACCTCATTACAATTATTTTTGTTTCTACCAAATATAAGACTCTAAAACTTCTCAGACTCTATTAAGTTATCCATTTCCAAGAGTTAAGAAGGAAAACATGGTTTATATCATATCTTAGATGATAAATCAAATGAAATTATTACAATTGAACTACATAGGAAATATGGACTTGTCACAAAGCTTATTTCTTTAAATATGTATTTGTACTTTTAGAATCTGTTCCTTCAGAACAGATTCTAAAAGTAAATTAGTAGTTTATAGGTAAATGAATACCTTTTACAAAATTTCTAGGATGGCATTTCTCAACCAAAACTGATACTGTTTCCCTCGATGTTCTCAGAAAAGCAAAGTACCTACAGAATAAACAATATCCTAGCAACACTTTAATTAAATCCTGAGCCTCAAATTCCAAGGCAAACTTTCAGAAAAGTTCCCCTTATCTTCTATTGGTTGAAAAATAAATACATCTCTAGCTTATCGATTATAAAGGTTTCAAGCAAAGCTAATTTTATAAGTAAATAAAATGCTTTTGAAGGCCATGGTAGCTTATAAAATAAATTTTTTCTTTGAGTGATTCTGAATGACTGCGATCCTCCCTCAACCACACCCCTCAAATCACAAAATACACATTCAGCAAATTGTATTCCCAGGTAATTCTTTTCCCATAATCTTTACTGATAGCATGACATAAATATTTAGATATCTTTAAGAAAGTACTGAAAAGAGAAATAGAAGTTTTGATGATACGTGAATAATTAACACATTCAAACATAACTTTTGACAATCTGATTTCTTAATGACTGCTATTCTTTTCCTTCAAATTTCTACCTGGGGATTTTAGGAATAGAAAATATTTAAGAGCCAAGAAAAATCACCATATCTTATAGCATACCTGCGTTTTCCCTTGCTGCCCATAAACAATTTTTGTTGGGATGATTTTAGCTGCTGGTTGAACTGTGGAACCTATTCCTTTTGGCTGAGTTACAATCATTTTGGTGATGGGTCTTGTAGCAGTGATGATAGCTGGCTTTGCTCCTGTTGGCACTGTCTGAATAGTCTTTTCTCCCTAAATTGAAGTCAATGATTATATAAGAGATTTATAGCATATAAATGATAAAATCTGTCCTCTTACTGAAAAATCAGTCAGGTTTTACCAGGATGATGGAAAAAGGGCTGAGGATTATATAACAAGGTATAATATTTCCAGGAAATCAAAAATCCTAGACTTGGTTAAAAGGATCTAGGAAATCATCTGACCAACTTTCTATCCAAAGAAGGAATTAATTATTCTCTGATAAGTGACTTTTTAAAAATTACCTCATGTAAAAATACTTAATGCATGGTCCCATTCATGGAATACATATATTACAATTATAATAGAATCAGAAAATTCTGGAAGCAGGTATAGTAAACTGCCAATGCTTGTCTCTAAGAACTGGGATTATAAGTCTCATCCCTCACATTCATATTTATTTTCTAATTTATCTGAAATGAATATTTGTGTAATTAGAAAATTGCTGTGCAATATACTAGTTGCTAAATGTATACACATAAAATAAATCCCCTAAGTTCTACATATATGAAATTATAAGGATATATAGTAGAATGTCTACATGAAAAAGTATGGGCACGCAAAATCAGCAGAGGTATTAACATTCTTTCTAAGGTTATATATAGGAAAAATTTGATGAACCTATGCCATGAGGAAAGAATGTTATATATTATTAATAATACATAAGATTATACATAGAAGAAAAGGAAAGGAAAACTCAAGGTGCTGCATATGTTTTACTATTCATATATAACTAATATCATTTCAGTCTATTAACTAAATAGCTTATATCCATTAACTTTACACCATTTTCTATACTTTCACCTGTTTTATTCTTAAGTACCATTTTCTGGTCACTCATGAAATCAACACCTTTTTACATAAACTTAACTAACTTAAGTTCAAATACAGTGATTTTACTAAATTATTAAAATTTTAAAAATTAAAATCCATAAACTTAAAATGGAAAAGATCTGAGAATTTTCACCTCATCAGTTTTCCTTAATTTTTAGCCAGCATCATCTAAATGTGTGGCTATCTAAACTTAGCAGCCAGTAAAAACAAAGCACCCAGGTAAGCTGGCTGGTTAAAAAGCAATCACTGTGAAGTCAGAACTAAATATAATTACAAAAATCACAAGTTTATCTGCTGTAATTATCTATGGGAAACATATAGTGTCTGCCAATTGTGCTATTACTTATTCCAACACAAGCATACTCTTCACAGCACCATCTCTGGAAAGAGCTCTAGTTCGTTTGCCAAGAGCCACCAGTTTGCAAATGAGCATGCCTATCTACTAAATACCTCAAAGGAACCTGTCCAAGTATGATGACCCATTTAAGCCAGACAAAACCAACTAGCAGGCTGTTTTTCAAAAAGCTCTTCTGATGTGTGTTGTGGGCACGCACAGGTGAGCAAGTTGTGAGTAGAGGTGATTGTGCCTATGTGGTCTTTGGCAGTGGTAGCAGGGGCAGAGTCTCGCTCTGTCACCCAGGCTGAAGTACAGTGCCAAGATCTTGGCTCACTGCAACCTCTGCCTCCCAGGCTCAAGTGATCCTCCACCTCAGCTTCCCAAGTAACTGGGACTACAGGCGCATACCTCTACACTAATTTTTGTGTATTTTGTAGAGACGGGGTTTCACCATGTTGCTCAGGCTGGTCTCAAACTCCTGGGCTCAAGTGATCCACCTGCCTTGGCCTCCAAAAGTGCTGGGATTACAGGCATGAGGCTCCACACCCAGCCCAGAAGATGGTCTTATACACTGATTTGCTGGTTTTACTAGCATTGCCTTTGTCAAGCGGTTATCAGCGATATCGAACAGCTATGAGTCACACATTACTCTGACATGTCTGTGAACAAAGGGCTAGAATACAAAGCATCCTTTCTTATATATCAAGTTCTTTGACATTGTAAACCACATTACAAAGGGTTTTGAAAATCCAAACTCTAATCCTGGCTTTACTTTTGGTTTACCATGTAAATTCTGGCTAGGAACAATCTGTTTTCTCACACATTGAAAAAATCTAATGCTGGACCCTTACCAACACTGTAAAGACTGTGATGCCTAAGAAGCTTTTATGAGATCTACTTAAGTGAAGTATAGCATTCCATTTGCTAGTGAAGTCAGGCAAGGCAGGGACACCAACAAGCCTAAACAGTTAAGAACCAAGAATAACAAGAAGAAAACCTATGACTGAGGAATTCCTATGTGCCAGGCAATATTCTAAGCACTTTCACAATTGCTACCAGTTACTGAACAACCTCACTGGTAAAGATCATCAACCCCAAAGTGCGAATGAGGAAATTAAGAATGACAGAGGTTGGATGTAACCCAAGGTCAAACAACTACAACTACAATATAGAGAAACGAAGTCCCGGTTTGTCTAATTCCAAACATTCTACCAACTGCCTTCAGAACTACAAATGAATCCCTTACTTATTTGATTTTTTTTTTTTTTTTTTTTTGAGGCAAGGTCTTACTCTGTTGCTTAGTCTGGAGTACAGTGGCATGATCATGGCTCAAAGCAGCCTCAAACTCCTGGGCTCAAGCAATCTTCCCACCTTAGCCTCCCAAGTAGCTGGGACTACAGGTACATGCTACCACACCTGGCTAATTTTTAAAATAAATCTTTGTAGAGGTGGGGTCTTGCTTTGTTGCCAAGGATGGTCTCGAACTCCTGGCCTAGAGCAATTCTCCCACCTCAGCCTCCCAAATAGCTAGGATTACAAGCATGTGCTACCATACACAGCCTGACTTTATTTTCTAATAGCACAAAGAGGTAAAAATGGGGGAAAAAAATGAAAGTAACAAATCTCCATCAATTAATTTAGTCTTAATCCCAAATATTTCTCTTTGCCTAGCCTAAGCCAAATACTAGGTCAGTATCTATTAATCATAAGCAGGAATAAAACAGTGCTCCAACAGAAGTCCCCCTACAGTTAAGCCAATGGAATTCTCTCTCTGGACAAAGCTAAGCATCTAAATCATGGTCACAAGCAACCTAGCTATGAGCAAGTATGAGCAACATGCTTTAGAAATTACTGTGAAAAATGGCATTAGTTGGTGGTACTTTAACAGTTATTATATCACAGCAGTGGTAAATCAAGCCATTCTGGCCATTGTGGGGTTCTCAAGTCCTTGTACAAATATTTGTATAGCTGGTCTTTAAATCCTCTGTGAATTGCTAAGTCTGCAGTTGAAGCTCTTACTTACTCCAGCATTTAGCAACGTTGTGACAACATTTTTGCCGGGGAGGCCTTGAATGGTTGTTCCTTTTCCTGTAGTCTTTTGTACAACAATCACATTGGGCTTGGAAGTCATTGGGATTGTAGTGATTTTGGTAGTCGTTCCTTAGAGAAGGGGGAAAGAAAAGGAGGCCTGAGTTAAGGACTAGAGACACTTGGTTATTTCTATTTCTATTATACACATTTAATACATAAATAGTAAATGTTATCCCTAGATGACACGAAAGCTGTCATGATGATAAAAATGAAGGCTTGAAATAGTAAGTTACAAGTCGTACCAGAATGAGAGAATATTAAGAATTTACTCTTAAAGCAGTCATCTTTTTAGAATCTGAGAACCTATACACCAAACTCAGAATCTTAAAAACATCAGTTTCACCTTCAATATTCTTTGTCTGACTAGTTAAAATAAAACAAATCAGAATCTCTATTCCATGACATTTATTTCCCCCAAATCCACTATTATATCTGTGACTGAAGTGATGGGAAAACCCTTCAAATAAGAATATGAGGTAAATACATAAATTTACATAACATTAGACTCTAGAAAAAAATTTATGAAAAGAAACAAGCCATATATTTTTCTGTGATTAAAAAAAAAAAAAAAACAAAGTAGGCCAGGCATGGTGGCTCACACCCATAATCCAAGCACTTTGAGAGGTCAAGGTGGGCAGATTGCCAGAGGTCAGGAGTTCAAGACCAGCTTGACCAACATGGTGAAACTCTGTCTCTACTAAAACTATACAAAATTTAGCTGGGTGTGGTGGCGGGTACGTGTAATCCCAGCTACCTGGGAGGTTGAGGCAGAAGAATCATTTGAACCCGGGAAGTAGAGGTTGCAGTGAGCTGAGATCGCACCACTGCACTCCAGCCTGGGCTACAGAGCAAGAATCCTCTCAAAAAAAAAAAAAGACAAAGTAAAGGATATGCAAAACAAGTCACAGATTCAGTGTATGCTTTCGTAATCTGCAGCAATCTGGAGACTGAGAGGATAAAACTCTAATTTACATATATAAACTTATACTGTCAACTATTAAGATCTATCTAATAGGTCTATACCAACTGATCCAAACCCAGTATTATTTTGCCCTCTCCCACACATCATTCCATAATTAACTTCTCTTCTACCTATCAAATCCACCTTCCAATCTTCAGATGTAAATTCTGGATTAAATTTTTGATTCATTCCTTGTCTTTTTCTCTTTTTAAAAACATTTTATTTTTATTTATGTATTTTTAAGGCAAGGTCTTGCTCTGTCACCCAGGCGGGAGTGCAGTGGAGCAACCACAGCTCACTAAAGCCTTGACCTCCTGAGCTCAAGTTGTCCTCCCATTTTATGTATGTATTTATTTATTTATTGAGATGAGGTCTCACTATGTGGCACTGGATATTTATTTATTCATAGAGACGAGGTCTCACTATGTGGCCCTGACTGGTCTCAAACTCCTAAGCTCAAGTGATCCTCCTACCTCATCTTCACAAAGTGCTGGGACTACAGGTGTGAGCCACTGTGCCTGGACTTCCTTTTCTTTCTACTTATTTAATAGAGCCAGGGTCTCAGTCTGTTACCCAGGCTGGAGTGAAGTGGCGTGATCATATCAACTGCAGGCTTCAACTCCTGGGCTCATGCAATCCTCCCACCTCAGCCTCCTAAGCACCTAGGACTACAGGTGTGTACCACCACGCCTGACTAATTTCTGTATTTTTTGGTAGAAACTGGGGTCTTACTACATTGCCCAGGCTGATCTTATACTCCTGGCTTCAAGTGATCCTCCTGCTTCAGGCCCCCAAATTGTTAGAATTATAGGCATGAGCCACCAGTCTTGGCCTGTTTCCTTGTCTTAACTCCCTATACCTCTCAACAAGATGAAAGCCACTTAATCTCCACACTGTACCTTTTTACAATCCTCAGTGCTTAGCACAGTGGATGACTATTACTTGGCAATCGTTGTCCAAAGAGTATGTGAATGAACTTAATTCGTCACCAACATGTGTCTTCTTTCAAACTGTTATCAAAGCCAGCTCAAGAGCTTCAACTCCTTTCCCAAACTTTCTCCCTATTTCACATTTCTCTATCATGCCAACAGCTCTGGTGCTTCCTATCATATCAAACATCCTTAAAAAACTAACTTTATCATGCCAAGAACCTGTAACATGTTAACTGGTTAAAAACCTCCCTAATTTCCCACATCCCCAATTCTAACTTTCCCTCATGCTTCAAAATCCTACAAACGAGTAAATCTGGAAGAAATGGATAAATTCCTGGACACTTGCACTCTCCCAGGACTAAACCAGGAAGAAGTTGAAACACTGAATAGACCAATAACAAGGTCTGAAGTTGAGGCCACAATTAATAGCCTACCAACTAAAAAGAGTCCAGGTCCAGACGGGTTTACCGCTGAATTCTATCAGACATACAAAGAGGAGCTAGTACCATTCCTTCTGAAACCATTCCAAACAATACAAAAAGAGGGAATCCTCCCCAACTCATTTTATGAGACCAACATCATCCTGGTAACAAAACCTGGCAGAGACACAACTAAAAAAGAAAACTTCAGGCCAATATCTGTGATGAACATTAATGCAAAAATCTTCAGTAAAATACTGGCAAACAGAATGCGACAGCAAATAAAAAAGCTTATTCATCATGATCAAGTAGGCTTCATCCCAGGGATGCAAGGCTGGTTCAACATATGCAAGTCTATAAACATAATCCACCACATAAACAGAACCAAAGACAAAAACCACATGATTATCTTAATAGATACAGAGAAGGCCTCTGACAAAATTTAACAGCACTTTATGCTAAAACTCTCAATAAACTAGGTGTCAATGGAACATATCACAAAATAATAAAAGCTATTTATGACAAATCCACAGCCAATATCATACTGAACGGGCAAAAACTGGAAGCATTCCCTTTGATATGTGGCACTAGACAAGGATGCTCTCTCTCACCACTCCTATTCAATGTAGTATTAGAAGTTCTAGGCAAAGCAATCAGGCAAGAAAAAGAAATAAACGCATTCAATTAGGACAAGAGGAAGCCAAAATGTCTCTATTTGCAGACAGCATGATTGTATATTTACAAGACCCCATTGTCTCAGCCCAAAATCTCCTGAAATTGATAAGAAACTTCAGCAAAGTCTCAGAATACAAAATCAATGTGCAGAAATCACAAGCATTCCTATACACCAATAACAGACAAACAAGAGAGCCAAATCAAAAGTGAACTCCCATTCACAATAGCTACAAAGAGAATAAAATACCTAGGAATACAACTATCAAAGGATGTAAAGGACCTCTTCAAGGAGAACTACAAACCACTGCTCAATGAAATAAGAGAGGACAAAACAGATGGAAAAACATTCCATGCTCATGGTTGGGAAGAATCAATATTGTGAACATGGTCATACTGCCCAGAGTACCTTACAGATTCAACGCTATCCCCATCAAGCTACCAACGACCTTCACAGAACTGGAAAAAACCACTTCAAACTTCATATGGAACCAAAAGAGAGCCTGCATAGCCAAAACAATCCTAAGCAAAAAGAACAAAGCTGGAGGCAACATGCTGCCTCAAACTATACTACAAGGCTACAGTAATCAAAACAGCAAGGTACTGGTACCAAAACAGAGATATAGACCAATGGAACAGAACAGAGGCCTCAGAAGCAATACCACACATCTACAATCATTCAATCTTTGACAAACCTGAGAAAAGCAATGGGGAAAGCATTCCCTGCTTAATAAATCATGTTGGGAAAACTGGCTAGTCATGTGCAGAAAACAGAAACTGGACCCCTTCCTGACACCTTACACTAAAATTAACTCCAGGTGGATTAAAGATCTAAACATAAGACCTAACACAATAAAATCCCTAGAATAAAACCTAGGCAAAACCATTCAGGACATAGGCATAGGCAAGGACTTCATGGCTAAAACACCAAAAGCAATGGCAACAAAAGCTAAAATAGATAAATGGTATCTAATTAAACTCCAGAGCTTCTGTACAGCAAAGGAAACAATCATTAGAGTGAACCAATAACCAACAAAATGGAAAAAATTTTTGCAATCTACCCATGTAACAAAGGCCTAATATCCAGAATCTACAAAGAACTAAAACAGATTTACAAAAAAAAGGCCATTCAAAAGTGGGTGAAGGACATGAACAGACACTTTACACAGGAAGACATACATGAGACCAACAAACATGAAAAATGCTAATCATCACTGGTAATCAGAGAAATGCAAATCAAAACCCACATTGAGATACCATCTCATGCCAGTTAGAATGGCAATCATTAAAAAATCTGTAGGCAACAGATGCTGGAGACGATGTGGAGATATAGGAACACTTTTACACTATTGGTGGGAGTGCAAATTAGGCAACCATTGTGGAGGACAGTGCAGCGATTCCTCAAGGACCTAGAAATAGAAATAGCATTTGACCCAGCAATCCCATTACTGAGTATTTACCCAAAGAATTTAAATTGTTCTATTATAAAGACATATGCACATGTATGTTCATTGAGGCACTGTTTACAATAGCAAAGACCTGGAACCAACCCAAATGTCCATCAAAAATAGACTGGATAAAGAAAATGTGGCACATATACACCATGGAATGCTACACAGCCATAAAAAACAATGAGTTCGTGTCCTTCATAGGGACATGGATGAATCCGGAAACCATCATTCTCAGCAAACTGACACAAGAACAGAAAATCAAACACTGCATGGTATCACTCATAGGTGGGTGTTGAATGATTAGAACACGAGGACACAGGGAGGGAAGCATCACACACTGCAGTCAGTTGGGGGGGACTAGGGGAGGGACAGTGGGGGTAGGGAAGGTGGGGAGGGATAACGTGGGGAGAAATACCAGATATAGGTGATGGGGGGCAGGAAGGCAGCAAACCATCTTGCCATGTATGTACCTATGCAACAATTCTGAATGATCTGCACATGTACCCTAGAACCTAAAGTACAATTAAAAAAAAAGAAAGAAAAAAATATATAATCTGTCCCTTAATCTACTATTTTGATATAATTAGTGTATACTCCAGAGTACACACCATAAACTTTAATCTAACAAGTAACTTCTTCCTTATGGCTTCCCATGACCTACTACTACACAAAGCCCAAACTCCACGGCCTAGCTTTCCAGGCTTTGTTAAACCTTAATTTTTAGAATTAACTAACATTTGCCTCTCCTATAAGTGTTGGTTTCCACATTGGTCTTTGAGCATACAAATCCCAATGTTACTTTTGCTTCTATAGTTTCCTCTGCCTATGAAAACAGGCATGTCATGTTCTTTTTCTATAGGCCTGTATATCATTTATCAAATGACTAGTCACAGAACAATTACTCGGTAAAAACATGGGTAATATATCATCAAAAAATAATTAAACAAAATTTTGTTATTTTCCACTGGGAAACCTTAACATTCCTTACTAAAGTTTCATAAACAAAGTTACACTAAGAATAAGAATATTCTAATTATATGTTAATTTTGGCAATACTGCTACAAAAAATATCTTTATAATATGCTCACTATTATATAATGTCTCATTAGTCCAAGGTAACATACTCTGAGGTTACACAAGAGAGCGTTTTTATCTATGAACTGGCTTCGCAACTGTTTTTCCATTTATTTGTAGTCTCTGAATAGTGAGCTGTTAAGCACTTCAAAACCTAAGCTGCCTATGATTCACTTATACTAACTTTTACTCTTAATTAACTCTAATCCTTCACATATGATTAACTCTATGGGCCTCTTTTGACATGGTTTTGTATGACCTCTTTTGACATGGTTTTGTACGACCTCTTTTGATATGATTTACTATGCTTTTGACTTTATACCAAAGTACAAGGACCACTTTTTGACAAAACTGGCTTAACAAATGAATTGTATTTGTACCTACTAAAATGTCTAATCCTTTCCATTACAAAGGTTTTTCAATTTACAAGATAGTTGCAAACCAAGTCCACAAGTTTAACAAAATGTGGTGGGGGTGGCAAATGTTAGAAAATAGAAGAAAAAAGAATAGCATAAAAAAAAGCAACTCTAACATTATATTAAAATAGAAACAATTTATAATTGATAGAATGATCAATTATAAATGTCTGAAATTCCAATGAACATGTTTCTGTGTCAGGGGATACCTACATTATATTAAAGAAGTATTGCTCATTAAAAAAAGTCACCCTCTGCTTTCACAGTAGTCTGTAGTTCTCATGGTTACAATTGAATTATACAAGCTCATTTGTTTAGCTTCTTGAGGGCAGAGAATAAAAACTCATATATATTTTCATCTGTATCACAACACACAGGCACAGTATCTGGCCCACTTGTCTAGTCTTCACTTATAAAACAATCAAGACATAATAGGTGCAAATAATTGTCAATCTCATTTGGATCACAATGGCTACGATAGTGATGCATCCCAGGTATTCTTATTTTTTAAAAAGATGCCTAAAGTTTGGGCATTATAATAGGTAGGCTTAAAAAAGAACACAAATTTACTGGCTCAGATTTTATTATTCTATTTACAGATTCTAAAAGACCTGACAATCTTGGTCTTTAAGTAATGTTTTATGTTGCTTTACTCAAAGAATAAATGAATGAAAAACATCAAGAGAATTAAAATAAAGTTTTGCTATTGTCACAGGTTGTCATAATGTCCTCAGAACCAAGGTAGTGAGTTCATCTCTGAAGAATCCAATACAATTATTCAAGTAACCCTCAGTGAAGCTCACAAAAAAACTTACAAATCTGATAATCTCATATATATACATGTAAATATTTGACTCAATAAAATATGAATTGTTGGGGTGTGGTGATTCACGCCTACAATACTAGCACTTTGAGAGCCCGAGGTCAGGAGTTAAAGACCATCCTGGCCAGCATGGTGAAACCCTGTCTCTATTAATAATACAAAAATTAGCCAAGCATGGTGGCAAGTGCCTGTAACCCAGCTTCTCAGGAGGCTGGGGCAGAATTGCTTGAACCCGGGAGGCAGGGGTCGCAGTGAGCAGGAATCACACTACTACATTCCAGCCTGGGTGACTGAGCAGGACTCTGCCTCAAAAAATGTGTGTGTGTGTGTGAATCAACTATAAAAAAGACAGTCATGGCTTCCATTTAATTGATTATTCTAATAAAAAGAACAAAGTGACCTTTATAGAAAGTACTTTGGAAGCATTAACTTGCATTCTAGGATATTTATAAGAGGAAATAAGAATTCCACAAAATAATTTACCTGTAATAATGTTCATCATAGGATTATTTATCATGACACCCATACACAAAAGACAACCTGTAAGCAACCTAAAACTTTCTACAATAAGCAAATGATTAAATAATGAGGGGGTGTCAAAATACAATTACTAGTATGGGAAAATAATCAACATTATTACATGAAACATGGAAAAAATCTAACTATATTGGATCCCAATTTAATGAAAAAAATATATATATATACACACATACATAAACACATTTAAACAAACAAACGAACAGAAAAAGAAATGAAAAGAAATATACCTAAATTTTAACATGGTCCTATGGATAGTAAAAATCATAGGTTTTAATTTTCTTTGAACCTTGCTGTAGTTTCCAAATCCCCCCACAATTAGAGGGAAAGTACCTTTTTTAAGACTTCTATTCTTATAGCTAGATGTTTGAGTGTATTTTAAGAAAACAGCCAGGCACGGTAGCTCACGCTCGTAATCCCAGAACACTGGGAGGCCAAGGTCGGCAGATCGCTTGAGTTCAGGAGTCTGAGACCAGCCTGGGTAACATGGCAAAACCCGTCTCTAGAAAAAATAAAAAAATTAGCCAAGCATGGTGGTGTGGGCCTGTAGTCCCAGCTATCTGGGAGGCTAGGATGTCAGGACTGCTTGAGCCCAGGAGGCTGATGCTATAATAAGCTGATCATGCCACTGCACTCTAGCGTGGCCAACAGAGACTGTCTCAAAAAAAAAAAAGGAAAGTACTTCCTTTTTGTTTTGGGGAGATGGGACCCCAGAAAAAGCATCTTCTCATGGATGAAGGCAGAAACTATCTAAATTCATTCAACCAGGCTTATCACTTTACTACAAACAGACAATGAAAGATTTTAAAACAAACCTATAGACCCAGTATCATGGATCAACAAGAATATTATAAAATAAGAAAATTGTCTTTATAAAGAAAAGTGAGATGTAACGTTAAGGATCAGTTTAGAGCAACCAGGAAGAAGATAGGTTCTTTGCAATAAAGTATCAGTGAAGCATAGGTAGAGACATGAGCCACCATGCAATGAATAAAGTTGTTTAAACTGTATGCCAAGTATATCCTATAGTGCTGGAAAAGTCTCTACTCATGTACACCCTTGGACCTGAAGTAGCAGCTAACCGTGAATGGTTTTATAATTCAATACAAAGGTGGATAATATGTCATACATGTATAAGATACATAGATTTCAAATGACATCTCTGCTTTTAAAAGAAAAATATGCTTGCTTGTATTGCTCTAACCAGGTACAAAGCAGCTACATTATGAATTAGGTCTGAAAATAGAAGCCTCATGACATCTAAACATTCCTTCAAGCTATATGAAACCATAAATTCATGTATAAGTAAAGAAAAATCCTTAAGGTCATAAAAAGCTACCAACCAATGAAATACACGATCCCTTTTTGACATATGTTTAATTGAATAAGTGCTTTACATTATTTAAAGATATTGTCAAGTAATAAATTATAATTTAAGTTTTAACTGTGTTATTTAAAATATCCTCTTAAAAGCCAGAGTACAATGATTCTTTCCCTACTGGTTTCACCCTCCTCAGTCTGGCAAATACTGGATTTTCTCACTTACTCTTAAAAGTAGAGCCAAAATTAACAGCTTTAAATACAGCACGTTATGCCAATACCATGCTCTATTTTGCTTTTTTGTTTTTTATTCCCTGAGTTATCAGCAACATCAAATTACTGCCAGGAACTTCAATCCCTTGACTTTAAAATGTTAGAACAACTCACCTGGGGCATATAAAATATGACACGTCTACAAAAAAGGTAGACATTAAAGTCTACAGTCTTGCTTAACCAGAGATTATTTACATCATTTTAATTAAAAAATAATAATTGATGAAAACAGATGCCATGTTAACTTTCCACATTAGGGTCCACAACCCAAATGCTGTAGAGATTAATGAGTCAATAAAAACCAGGTATGGTTTCAATATACCAATAAATAGGCAGATGGTTAGTTTTCACTATTAAAGTAAGATATTTCTGAAAAGCAAACTGTTAATATAAATGGCAAAAAGCAAATATTCAAATATTTTTATGTTTAATAAACTAGAGTGACATCAATAATTTAAATTATAAGATATGTTCCCTCAAACATATTTGGAACAAATAATAGTTCTTCCACTTTCTAACTCTAATAGGTCTTGGACAGATCAAGCTGATCTCTCTAAACCCAAATCTGTCTTCACTTGTAAATTCAGCACAATAGAAACTACCTCAGAGTTCTTATGGGGTCTGAATGAGTTGACAAATAAGAGAATATTTTGCCAATAAAAAATCTCTATGCAAATTTAAACCATAATCTTTCCACTCTGACTAAAAGCAACTAAAGGTTCTTTCCATTTTAAAACTATCAAAAGCTTTATATGTGAATATTGAACATTAAAACTAAAAGTTATATTTAATCAGGAAACATAAGGACTATAAACAAAGCTTTAGATTTTTAAGCAAAAAATTGAGACAAAATAGAATCCTTCAATGAAATAAGTTTTTTTTTCTCTCATGAAGGCCACCTATACCTTTAACATATTTCAGATATACCTACCAGAAACTATATTACTGCTAATTATCTTGCCCCCCAAGGTAGCTAATGATTTGGGTACTACTGTAATGATGCTGCCACTGGTAGTTTTCACATAAGTTGCAGCTCCAGGGGTTGCAGCCATCCGCCCAATGGATGGGCTCACTGTTGGCCGGGTATAGGTTGCTTGTGTGCCTATAAAGAGGGAAAAGCCAAAAGAAAAACTTGTCATTACTTATAGAAGAATGATAATTAATACAGTTTAACTGTAATTCAATATCATCTACATTGCTATAACTTGAAAATGGAATTTCAAGGTGTCAAGACATTAATTTATAATTTTACAGCCAGTTTTCAACACATACAGCAACTGCTACAGCCAAGTCAATTTAAATTAATTCTACACATAAAATTTTGTGATGTGTTGCATCAAATTACTAACCCAAGAAAAAGTAGAGCTAACTCTGTACCCTTCTTCCGCTACCCCTCTTCTACTAGTTTTATGCCAAAAGAAACAAATTTAATCATCTTTCCTACCAGAGTATTTAAGATATTTCTATTACAGTTTTAAGGTCTCTGCATCTGTTTTATGCTGTCTTAGTACCAAACCCAATGTGGGCATGCAGCAAGTAAGGCAGTATTGTTTGTCTAAAATTGTACAAACTTTTACCACTTTGTACTCTGCTACCCTCTAAATATACTTCCATCTTTTAAAGAGTTGATTATTCTATCATTTTAGTAGAGATTAAAGTTAAGCCTGCCTAGAGTTGCCGGGAATATTTCTCTTTAGCCTAAAATTTTCTCTATTTATGTATTTCCTCAACTTTAGACCTGTTAGATTACTTTTCTTCATGTGTCTCAAAGGATTTTACACCCTTTCCCACTATTTCTAAGACTTTTTTTCTTTTTTCCAAACAGGAATTAAAAGCTAACTATGTAAGTCTGTTGTAGTTTCTTACAAATCCAATAAGTTAGAAAGGCTATTCCTAAATTAAGCTGGTATAGAGAAGTTGTTTGATGAATGTATGATGAATAAATGAACTGATGGTCAAGAGAACTTACCAGTAGGAGTGGTTACCAGTTTAGTCGTCATAATTGCACCATTACTGCTAACCACCATAATGGGGGAATTGCTACTGGTGGGTAGAGTTGCTGTCACTGGTTTGGGTAAGATTTTACTTGGTTGAACCTGCTGTGTGATGATCTTAACACCTTTGAAAGAAGAAAAATAAATTATTTTTAATTTTAAACACAAATTATTTTTAAATACATGTCCCTTATGCCAACCCAAGAGGGCAAGAGTCACAGACATTTACTCAGTCTTGCCTAAAGATAAGCTTTTTTTAAAATACTGATGAAAATCTAAACTTTTATTCCTCAAATTCCTATCTTAGTTTATTTCTCATTTCAGAAATGCAACTAAAACATTACATTAAAAAGTTCATAAAGAAAAACAAATCTTTTGTCCATGACTGTGTTACATAAGAGCTTTCAAACCAAATTGCCATTGTACTTGAACTTTACAGGCAAATAATCCATTCCATACAAATACTTAGGGTGAAAGGACTAACATAAGATATCAGAAACAAAACGTAATATACTTTTATGTATCCCCAACCTCACCAAAAAATTCTCACAACTCCTTAAACTTACATAAAAGCTGTTGAAAAATATAAAGACAAAGAATATTTTTTGTTTGAATTTTTAAATTGCCTTCTTTTTTTTGAGAGGGAGTTTCGCTCTTGTTACCCAGGCTGGAGTGCAATGGCGCGATCTCGGCTCACCGCAACCTCCGCCTCCTGGATTCAGGCAATTCTCCTGCCTCAGCCTCCTGAGTAGCTGGGATTACAGGCATGCACCACCATGCCCAGCTAATTTTTATATTTTTAGTAGAGACGGGGTTTTACCATGTTGACCAGGATGGTCTCGATCTCTTGACCTTGTGATCCACCCGCCTCAGCCTCCCAAAATGCTGGGATTATAGGCATGAGCCACCGGCCAAATTGCCTTCTTTTAAAAGAATTTTTAGGCTGGCCACGGTGGCTCACACCTGTAATCCCAGCACTCTAGAAAGCCGATGTGGGCGGTTCACCTGAGGTTGAGACCAGCGTGGCCAACATGGTGAAACCCCGTCTCTACTAAAATTACAAAATTAGCCGAGCATGGTGGCACGCTCCTATAATCCTACTTGCGAGGCTGAGGCAGGAGAATTGCTTGAACCTGGGAGGTGGAAGTTTCAGTGAGCCAAGATCACACCATTGCACTCAGGCCTGGGCAACAAGAGTGAAACTCCATCTCAAAAAAAAAAAAAAAAAAACAATTTTTAATAGCTCACTTTGTCAAATACAGTATATAGAAAAAGATACATTATTATTCCACCACAAAAAATGTGTGTGGACAAGAACTTGAAGGTGATAGGCAAAAATAAAAATGCTAAGGTGGTGTTATGGTTTTTATTTTTAAGTTTTCTAAATTTTTCTTTGTCATAATTGTTACATTGATTTTCTAAACATAAACATTCCTTAACCCTTTTCCCGTTCAGAAAAAAAAAGCAGTTTGCTGCCAGCGTTCCTTTAATTTTACATAAACATGCTCTTTGAGGCTGGAACAAATCTGAGTGATTTTCAATATGAAAATAAAATATAAAAACTGTTTTTGAGAACTATGTTAACACACATAGGAATACTACAGTTTCCAGGATTTGAGATTTTCAGCAAATAAGAATTACTATACTTTGCAAATGGAAATACCACTACTAAAAACAGAATGCTATAAATGGAATAATGTCTTTTGTTTCCAAAGTCAATATACTAGAGCAATGTGAAAATAATAATAAAAGCAAGATACTTTGGGGTGAAAATAATAATAAAAGCAAGAAAGTTATCGTGGGGTAAACACTGCAGCTGCAAGTGGCACTGGTAAGTATTCTTAGGGCAAATGAGAAAAGGGTTAAAAGAAAATTTCCTATGCCAACTACAAATTTAAATTGGTAGCTAAAGAAGGAAATTTTTTGGTAACACTCTTTCCCCACTGCTATCTTCTCTGAAATGATTCATGAGACAAAATAAGTTGTTATAGGCAACTAAGAATTATTTCACTTTTAGAGATGGTGATTTAGATTAAGGCATTAGGAAGCAAATAAATCTATTTATTTAATAGCCTTAAATTATTCTAAATTTCTGTAGCCAACAAAGTTGCTGATTAGACAAGTTATATAATCTCTGTGTTTCCTTATCTATAAAATATTGATTCTATTAGTATATACCTCATAGGGCTATTGTTAAGATTAAATAAATCACAACTGTAAAGTACATAATGAATAGTAAAGATTCAGTAAATAATTATTATGGAAATTTTAAAAATCTGATTATAATAAATCTTAAGCATTGAGGTTTATGGGGGAATAATTTCTAGTATTTATTTCATTAGTGAGTTACAGTAATTATTATTATTATTATTTTTTTTTTTTTGAGACAGGGTCTCGCTTCGTCTCCCAGGCTGGAGTGCAGTGACGTAATCTCAGCTCACTCCAACCTCCACCTCCCGGGTTCAGGTGATTTTCCTGCCTCAGCCTTCTGAGTAGCTGGGATTACAGGCACCTGCCACCATGCCCAGCTAATGTTTTTGCATTTTTAGTAGAGACAGGATTTTACCATGTTGGCCAGGCTGGTTTTGAACTCCTGACCTCAAGTGATCCACCAGCCTTGGCCTCCCAAAGTGCTGGGATTACAGATGTGAGCCACCACACCCAGCTAGAATTATAGTAATTCTTAAAGCACATATAAAAACAAGTTTCTAAAGAAATAACCACACAGAGAAAAAAATTAAGATAATCATAAAATGACTTTGCTCAATTATATGCAAATAAGTTTAAAATGGATCAAATAAATAATTTTCTAGGAAAATTATTTTCCAGAAAAGAAAAATATATAAATAGACAAATTTCCACAGAAAAAAAAATCAGAGCTGTACCAAAAAGTAGCAGGCCCAGATAGTTGCATTGGAAAATTCTACAGTCCTTTAAAAAGAACGGTAATTCCACTGTACTAAAACCATTCCAAATATTGGTATCTGGCACGGTGGCATGAGCTCCACTGGCCCTCTAACCCAGGGAAACTGTGAAAAGTATAAAACATCTACCACTGAAAGGCTCTGGAAATGGTGCCAAAGGCAAACATTAAATGAAAAAACATCTATTCAAGAAAATCTACAAAAATTCATTGAGAAAGGCAAGATCTGTGGTATTTAAACCAAGACCATTTCCTCCTTCCCCACTACCAGCTCAGCAAGGGTAACATTCCATTCCAGATGGCTTCAGTGAAGAACTCAGGGTTCTTTCTCCACCAGCTCTCTGTTGAAGGATTTTCTTCTCAGAAGAAATGGGACTTCAGATTTCTCATCCTGCCCTCTGCTATACATTGCTAAGGCTAAGTTCTGGGCAAGCGCAGTATGGATGTGAGAGCTTTCTTATTCTGCCCAGCCCTCAATTTATGGACAAGGCTCTACCTTGGGCACAATACCACTGAGAATACTGAAGTACTTATAGTCCTTGCCCTGGCTGGTGAGGCAGTGACTCCGCCATCAAGAGAACCAAGCTGTGAGGACCGCAGGCTGCTGCCCAACCGCTCACCCCTACTCAGTGAGCACTCAGTGCCTAAAGCAGGGGTGTCACTCAGAGAAGTCTGCCACTTACCCCACTCCATATTCCAGAGTCCTGGCTCAGCGACTTTGCCCAAGGATAGAAATAATTCATAAAACACATAGCTCCTAATCTCTTCCCAAAGAACTAACTACATTTATACCACAACATGGAGAAGTTCGAGACTAAGGGCATTCTTAAGAACAATGAAGAAAGTCGTAAAAGGCAACCAGAAGGAGATTCATGGATATAATGAACATATAGTCTATACTGCAGACAATTTATAGGGAAGAAGCAGAGAATATACAAGCTGGGAAGAGCCTTTGTGAGGTTAGAAGAAATATCAAACGTGAACCCCAGAAACTATTCCTTCAAAGGAGCCAAAATTTGAATTAGATTATAAAGCAATGTATGCTCCAAGACTTTCCTGAAAACAACAGAGCAATCAGCCAGCAGTTAATAGAGTTTAACAGCTGGGTGTGGTCAAGGAAAGAGCAAAAGAAAGTCAAATACCACTGTCATCCCAAAGTGACTATAAGGATACACAGAGCTGTGCCTCCCTGGGGAGTAATACCAGATGCTTAAATGAAGGAGCGCAGGCTGGAGAGGGAATAAAAATACTTCACTAAAATAACTAATCCCCTCACTAAACAAGTAACTATAAAAATGACAATAACAAATCCATGGTGAGGAGAGACCAGTACCCAGGTACTACATGGTCTTCCCGCAGTATCTGTGGAAGATTGGTTCCAGGACCCTGCTGATACTCAAATCCATGGATGCTCCATTTCTTTATTAAAAAATGGTACAGTATTTGTGAAACTCATGCACACGCTCCTACATACTTTAAATCATCTCTAGATTACTTATAACACCTAATACAATGTAAATGCTATGCAGCTGTTATACTATATTGTTTCTGTATTTGCATTATTTTTTACTATTGTATCATTATTTTTTGTTGTCTTTTTCCTAAATATTTTTGATCCATGGTTGCTTGAATCTGAAGATATAGAACTTATGGATATAGAGGAATCTAAAATGTCCAATTTCTAACAAAGACATAAGGAGGCATATAAAGAAACAGGAAAATATTACCCATACATTAGAAAAAAAACAAACAACAGAAACTGTCTGTAAGACCAACCAGATGTCAGACTTAATTGAAAAAGACTTTAAAGTAGCCATTACAAATATGTTCACAGAACTAGAGAAAAACATGATTATAGGAGTAAAGGAGGCTATGAGGACAACAGTACATCAAAAAAAGATTAATAAAGAGATATAAATTATTTTTTTTAAATAACCAAATAGGAAATCTGGAGGCTAAAAATAAAATCACTGAACTAAAAAATTCACTACAGGGGGTTCACATGTAGATCTGAACTGGCAGAAGAAAGAATTAGCAAATCTGTAAAAAGATCAATAGAGGTATGTGAGCTAAGAACAAAGAGAAAAAAAGAATGAAGAAAAATGAACAGAGCTTCAGAGAAATGTGGAACAACATTAAGCACACCGACATACATATAATGGAAGTACCAGAGGTAGGGAGAGAGAAAAGAAAAGAAATATT